TAATATTCTATTTGTATTTAACAGAATAATTCGTTGGAGGTTCGTCCACTAGATGAAGACTTTTTTTTCGTTGTGACATGGCGATGACTCTTGCGGCTAATGCGCTGTATTTTTTTTTATTGAGGGTACACTGTCTGCATGATATTACATCGTGCATCAACTAAGGCACCTCTAATCTCAGCTGTATCCGTGCAGCACTAGAAAAGTGTGGCATATACGCCACTCAAATCGGAGACGAGGAATTTGAGATATATGACTATATTTTGGGTATATCCTTGTGCATAAATTCTGAGCATTTCATTGTGGCCTAGAGTTGGAACAAGGTAGAACATAACGCGGCATCGCGACAGCGTTTAGCATCAGGAGGTTTCCGTCTTTGAACGAACTACCCATTTTTTAACATATCCTGGTGCTCTTCAGCGATGTATTCTAGTGAAAAGTTTCTGAGCGAGGCGCGTTGATTGTAAATCGTTTACGAATGCGATACAATGGTCGCATCACCGTTGATCACACGTGGTGATCAACCGCGTTTCCGGCCTGCCCCTCTGCTCTCTAGCCTCAGATAAACTTTTCGCACCTGCAATACATTCAAATAGATTTTCTAAAACAAAGGAGTCGATCATGGAATAGAGCAATTCGTTTGCGTAGCAATTCATTTTCCGAAGTCGGGACCAAATGACGCCCGGCCAACCTGCCTGCACCTACAATATCGACAGAAAGAAAGATCGCAAAAAATAGGATAACTACATGTTCTGCTAGCGACAAGTTGAACTTCTGTCCCCAGCGGCAAAGATAGCTCGCAACGCGTGCCATATCAATTCCTGCAAAGGAATGCTTGTACGCAGCGTGGACATTAGCATGCTATAGATCCAATGATGCCCCCAATACTTTACAACTACGTATGACTCACGTAGCGCTCTCCGTCAGGTATAATGGCAGCACCTATAACGCGAGTCATTCTGTTGAGCTTCACAGATGTATTAGAATTTGTATTTACATGTACAAGCGTTTATTTTCAACAAGAACGTCAACGATTTTTGCTACAGTTAAATCGTCGTACAACCTCGTATGAACGATTCTATCACGATCTACTTGGCGCACCTCATAATGGTTGCACTGTCTATAGAAATACATTATATTTGTCTCGTTTCGAGGTAAAGATGCGCACTCACTTTTTTGGCAGTGTGCTAGATTTTGCCGCAATGATGCTCAATGTATGCTGTAATGGAGGCCGCTTGGAGCTTACGAACCATCTCGATACGACTGGAACAGTTCCTTAGTAGCAATACGCTCTATCACATAACATCTTCATATACAAAATAAGCAAAAAACGCTGAATAGCTATTATCTGTCTCGCACCACTGGCTGTAGCCCTCTTCAACTGCCTAGATATAGTTCAATGCTTCATCTCTGTTTATCTTGAAAACCGAAAACATTTTACCTAGCCTATAGCTTTTTGCTGCTTATTCGACGGCAAGTCTTGATACTGGAAGGACCTGCTACCAAGATAGTAAAGGTCCTAACGCAGATAAGTAATCTAGTAGAAGTACCGCACATAAAATGGGACATAGATGAAGTTTTTGTCTTTTCTATTGGAGAGGGTAGCAGCTTCTCGTAATGGCAATGTGTTTTTGACACACTAAACATTCGAGGTGGCCTCAGTTCGAAATTCTGAAACCTTATTTACCATCTGAGGCCTTTAATAGTTCAGGTAACTTTCCCAATACATAGCTCGATCAATTATTTAAAGTTCAGGCTCACTTGTGTCCTTTTTTGCATAGTGTTATAGGCTGCCAGGGTGGCCAAGTGGAAACAGTCTACAGATAAATAGGTTTTGCGTAAAATGAAGATTTCGTATAGTGAAAGTACATAATACAATCCTATACTATATTTCTGCATTGATCCGTTTCGATAAAAAAAAAAAAAGTTTTGTTCACTTACAAACGCAGCCGTGCCGCCAACTTATTATTTGACGCTGCTAAATTGTTGCGGTAACAATTCAATAGTTACAAAAAGTGGCTTTCGACACCTTAACAAAATTCGCTGGAGACCCTTATTCTTAGTTGGACAGTGTTAATGCTGGTTTAGATGTTGCACTAGAGACGTTGATGACCATAGCGTGAGGTATCTCTTCACCTCTCTCGAATATATTTTTGCTTCGTGAAGTTTCAACCATTGTGTATAGAAATCGCAAGCCTTTGCAGTACAGCCTTTACGGGTAATGATAATCAGCCTATTGTCATTCTTGCAAGCACAAAGGAACGCTCTTTACCTATGGGATATGATCATTACCATACTGAATTAGCGCTCTAAAGCCACGTCGAGATTTTCAAGTGACTCATCAAAAGGGATTGTGTGAATTTTCTTGATAACGTGGGGCACGTACAATAACATTGTCTTGACATAGCCATTGTTGGTTGTAGTGTGCTTTGAAAAAGCTTTGGCAACATGGTTGAGGTCTCCGACACAGAGTCGTATAACGTTCTCGTATAATTCATTTTGTTCATTCGTTGTGAGACGGCATTGACAGACTTTCCCACACGTTCATTCTATACCCATTACTCTTAAAGCCCGCGATTCGATTCTTCAATTTGAGGGGCCCGATGACGTTTTTCCAATTGGTTTTCTAGTGTTGAAATCGTCTGCGTGTCTAGCTCCGGACGTGTCTCGTCCATCCATTCGTTCAGGTAGAGATTGTCCAGAGACATACTGTCTAAAATAATCAGCTGTCACTGGTCAAAAAGGTGAGCCTAAAAATAAGCTTTGATCCTGGGACAGAGATATTGGCTAAATACCAAAAAAAAAAAACTCAAGGTTCGGACGTCCAAGGAAAAGGTAACTATATAGATACAATGTAAACAGGATATGTTAGCCTTTCTAGCTACCATGGCAGGGCAAGTCGGACTTGATCTCTATTGATGTAGAGCGAATAGGAACTGAATCGCAATACGATCAGAGTTAAGTCAGAGCTCCAGAAAACTAAAAATGCACAAATGTTTAATAATGATAATAACAGATCCGAGTAGAAGCTGAGGGTGTAAAATGTTTCGGCAGATATGCAATTACCGCGTATTAAGTTGGTACAGTTATAATGGAGACGGTTCACTAAAAGACAAATCGGAACGTAATGTCACGCTATAGGATAATTTGACTCTGAAAAATGTCCAGGTAATGCTAGAGGGAACATTACGCAGCAGGCTGGAAGACTGGAGGGAGAAAGGGATATTTACCAAAGGAAATACTGAAACAATATAGGTGTCAGGGTGGTGGTGAATTCATAACTTATTTATGAACTAAATATACGGGTTTAAATTCGGACATAAGGACCGTTCATTTTTTTTTGCTGGAAGGGAGCCGCCAGCCATTTAGGCGATGCTTAACAAAAGCGATAACACCAAATGAAAAAGCTGAGAGAGAACAACCCAAACGAACGCTTGCGCAATCACAACTCAAACGTTACAGAGTAATAGGTATAAGTTTAAAATTAATAGACCATAAGAGAGAGATCCTCGGAATGGTTTCACAGATAGTGTAGAAGTTTTGAGCTGAAAATGCAGATGTCAAGAGATATTAGGTAGAATAAATATTAGGCCAACTTGAGCTTGCAGCTACAAATCATTTCATTCAGGCTTCGTAGTGACGAGGCAAGTAGGCCATGCTTACTATCAGTTGAAATGGTAAAGAAAAAGAATTAAATTGAGCAAGAAAAAATTATCGCTATCTGCTGTCGGCAATAATCTGTAGCAAAACCAAATTGACTGCGTCCGTTAGGGAAACCTGAAATGTTCGTTAATCATTTCGGCTCGATAGCTCGAGCTGTTCTGTGTCGGCTTGCCCTCATTGCTTACAACAGCTATGGCAATAAAATTCAAATCGTGATGAGCCAAGAACAACACTTATCTTTCTTGTATTCAGCTTTATCCCGTTTCTGATATTTTAGGAGAACGTTAGTGTAATCTATTTACAGCAAGACAGATAATGAGTTATTAATTATCCGAGAAATTATAGTTGACTGACGAACTGGATTCGTGATGGGGCATTCGTGATGCTTGCAAAGGCTATTGCGGACCTAACTAAATGTACAAGCGATTAGGAACAGATCACCGAGAGTACACTGATCCATAGCACTTCAGCTGTGACTAAACGCTATTCAACTGGCTAGCGATCATCACATCTAGCTACCAATGACTATAGCATCTATAGATGCTCTGTGGATCGCATTAGATGCTTCTTCTTCATGCATGCTGCTTCTTCTTTCAACATGGAGCGAATTGAAGATTCAAACCTAAATCATAACGTGTCCCCACAATCGGTGAGCACATACGCTTAGAAAGCCATATTATCCTCATACATATATTATCATACATATACATATTAGGAATAAAACAAATTCATCTATTTGAAGCAAGTGAGTCTAAACTTGCACTATCTTTTGAACGAGGTGTACAGATTAAATAGCGCAAGACGCACAAAGGATTGACCTTTATTGGTCAAGGAGTTACGTTGAAGTTTTTGAAACATCTTCCCAGCCAGCTGCCTTCTATAATGGAGACGCCCGAGAAGCTGAGTGTTTATACTTCACTATAGCGTATAAAGTCCTCTTCCGATTTTCGCCTTCCGGGTTCAGCCGGGGATTTAATGAGCCTTGCTTTGGACAGTTTTCATTTGGAATGACGCACGTTGCTATACTCTGCTACCTTTGTTCAATAGTTTCGCGAACGAAAGACGATACCGTCAAGATTCTTGCATATACGGCTCGTTATCGGAAAGTGTTTGGCCAATGAAGTCGAGGGTGGGTTCGGGCGTTTGGGTCTTACTGAATTTTTCAGCTTTATTATTTCTTCAATTCATTGTACACTACAACGTTTTCAAAGAGGCTTTTTTCTTTAATTTATATATTTTTCTATCTCTTATTTTTTATAATTATATATATATATATATATATATATATATATATATATATACACAAATTTATAATTATAATTTAGCTGACTTTTATGATAAAAACAGCTAAATTGTACCATTTATGGGAGGTTATGCTAAAGGACTCGAAAATGATGGCTTTATTGTGCGCTCTATGTGAGCTCTTGCATGCAAACACGCTCCCGTTCCAGAGATGAATGTGTACCTATGGAGCACTGCATATATAAAGCATTATATGATTCATAGCTCATTTATGGCCGCTCCGAAGTTCACACATGCTGCGTCTAAATGTAAGGAAACAATATCCTCTGTAACTCGAACAACTTCGCCCATATACATCTCGTAGCATTCGTTCAAAGCTTTCACATGATCACTAACTTCGAAAAGTTGTTTTACTTCGTTTGCTTGGGATGCGCCGAAATGTTCCCGGCTGAGTAGAATAGATACGATGCACACGTCCGCACCAATCACCGTGCCCAATAGATTACGATGTTTACCTCCACAAAGGATAACATTATCACCAAGTGTAAACAGTTCACATCCTATTGTCCACTTCACGCCAGCATTGACCTGACTGTCGTTTCCAGCATCCTCGATACGTACGTCTTGCCCATCGAACCTTTTCTTCTTGCGACACGTCCCGTTTCGACAGCGGTCGTCATCGTGAAGATAACGTTTCCTAGATGGTTGTCCGGCTGACAAAACCGTTTCGAAAGTTATTCTCATTGTAGCAAGTCGGCGAAAATACGCTAAAACCAACGTACTTCGGAAAATTCGGTAGTTTTGACAATGAAATCGAAAGGTCCTATAGAACGATTACGCAGGTTTAGATCCTATGGGTTTAGAACTAATATAGAATAGAAAGAAAATTGACTTTCAATTAAGTGTTGACGTCCATTACCTCTGTCCAGCATAGTTTCAGACGTTTGCTGTAGAAACAAGTACCATAAAACAACATAGCCCTACGACGCCAGCAATAACTAGGACTGAATTTATCTCAAGATTGCTCATTGACTCCGCCTACGCAGTCCCTCTCTCGTTGCTGCGATAGCTTATTCGGATGACTCACACTATAGCTTCTGTCTTCTTCGTTATGTCTTCGCTGTTGATGAGGTTGGCTGAATACAAGGTCCTTTGTAAGCCAGCTAGCTGGGGCGGGCAAGGGTTAGCGTGAAATTTCAAGCTTTGACAGAATTACTTCATAATATGATTTTCCATTGCAATTAATGCATCTCATTGTTTTAATACAGGACAATTAGCATTGCGGATGTTTATGGCAGTACAACACACGAAAATACGAAGTCGTTATTGTTCCTCTATGTGTTTACGTTCTACAAATATTTTATGCGTTTTCATATCTGTACGGGCACAGGATCAATTAATATTACTCTAATTTTTTGTGAAAGCTAATACGGCTTTTGATATTGATCATATTCTATTCTGTTTTTTTTTGTTATTTTTCTATTTTACGAATAGAAGACGAAAAGCAGAGTCTATCGGAAGCCTTTTATCAGTTTGGTTCGAGATTCGTGCGTAGACTGAATTGTCTGAAAATATGTGTTGTTTAGTGATCTGGCCGATTACTCTCGAGGGATGTATCAGGCTAGTTTTGTCTAGTCATGTAACACGGGAATCGAAGTGTTGAGAGAAGCGCAGTTCCCAATTCCCGTGCCCCTGTCTTCGGTGGGACGTCCGTCACTTGTTTTGGTAGACGCCTTCAGTGTTTCAATTGGAAACTACGCCCGCATGTGATGTTGAATAAATCGGCTTAAAATTATGGTTTCTACTCGGCTCTCATCGATAAATTCAAATGCTATTGCTTCCGTAAAAACTAAGAGCAATGAACCAATCGAAGTCCTTCATTACGCTAAGTGTCCTGTTATTCTCTAACCTGATTCTGCTGTTATAATCCTTTTTAGGCACTTGCTCAATCTCTAATGCCAAGGTCCGCTATACAACTCAACAATAAATTGCATTAAGCAATGGTTACATTAGAAAATAATGGAAAAGTCTTCCGATGTTAGTCTAGATCTAGTTTGGATCTAGAGCAACCTTTTTGGCAATAAACGAAATTTAGATTGGTCACGAGCCTTTTTAGATATCACTGCTTGTACTTATAGCGCGCAAAGCAAATTATAAAGGGCTACTATATGTACATGTATGCATACACTTTTTTTTTATGTTTATTTTAAAGAACCGCTACCCCGAACAGTGACTCGTTTATCGTTCATTAGTATACGAAGTCGAGGAAATCTCAGTGCTAATAAACGAAACAAACAGCCTGATTAATGCTCTCCATCAAACAAACAAGCAAACAAACAAAGATTAAATTATGGTTACTTACCTTAACTATTGCTTTGGGAACAAGGCTTTAATGGAACTTACGGATATCGCTCTTACTTCTCACGTAGTCCATGGATTAATCGAAAAACTAGTTATTCAGATAAACGTGAGAACATTACAGTGTACTCGGATCAATTACTTCACGATCAGACCACCTTCATGGGCAGTTTGGGCATGGATTTTCATTTGTCACTTGTATTCGTCTTGGGAGCAATAAAACGCGTCTTGCAAAGAAGCCGCGAAGGAAAACTGACGCATGTCCAATGTACTACGGGTCAGAGTCCATTTGATTTTGCAAACAGAGGATTCTGGAAATAAACATCCATCGGTAGCGTCTGTTTAAAAATTTCCGATTAATGAAGTATTCCTCAATAACTTTTACTCTATAGTATTTTGAAAAAACAAGCCAAAGTTACATGAAATCGTTTTTAGGACAATGAACATAGGGCACTGCCCTCTGCGATAGCTGCCAAGCAATTGTCTATCATACTAATTAGGTAAAGGTGAAAAGGGTAAAATGCAGACTTCACAAGTAATTTCGATCCTACGACGTCGGTGAGACATTGTCTGCTTTCGGATTAAGTAGTAAATAAATTACTACAGTGAGCTACGCTACTAGTATAAAGTCTGCCCTGACCCAAACCGATGTGTGGTACAGTCGATATATTTTTGAAGTACCTATTCGATTACTAGCAATACATTAACGTAGCTCCTGACAAGGCCAGCACGTGATTGCCTTGTTGCTTAATTATGCCAGTTTTCAATTTACAATTGTTTCGATTGGTGATCGAATCTCAGATTTTGAAGAGAGGACTCATTGACTAGCGTACTACAGCCCGCCGTTTCGCAGTAATAACCCTGCCTACAGCAGACAGTAGAGATATAATGCTATGACCAGTTAAGGAGGAGAAAAGACGGCCTACATGTTTGGCATAGCCGTGAAAAAACTAGGAAATCTCTTCCAAAAACCGAAGAAGCGTTGCCTCGTTTTGGCATGCGTTCGGTGCGCTCTTTGGCTGCCTAAAAAACGTACCGATTTGTGGTAACTCTGATTTATCACGTGGTTCCAGTCCAGAATGGAACATAAGCGTGTTTTGCTGAGTGGTGGGAGCCAGCCGTCTGAAACGACGCTTACCGCCAATGCCTAGCGTAATGGAACATTTAGATATTTCGTAATGCTACGGCACTAATCCGTCTACCCACCGAACTAACGGGCACCTGAAGTAATTTAGAGTTGAAAATTGGCATAGACATAATTCGTTTTGTGCCAACCGTATGAAAGAGTCACTGCAAATAGATCGATGCACGCCCAACAGAATCGTGTGACTCTTGATGGACTATTGGCGAAATACTGGATACATGAGTTCTATAGACGGGAATTAACAGACTGGGCATCGGGGAATCAAGGCCAGGAGAAGGGTTTACCAGGACCAAAGTGGATAAGCTTTTATACTCGTTAATCCTTTCTCTCTCTCTCTCTCTCCCTCTCTCTCAATCTAGACAATAGAAAACGTTGTGAAGAGGTTAAAATACAGTACACACAAGTTTCGCGGTCGGTGTTTACGAAGAACCTTGATTAGCAATATATGCAAGCTGGCAAGCGGAAATGGCTTGCGGAAAGCGATGTAACTCTCGTTTACGACAGAGGGTACTGACATCCCAAATAAGAGCTAAAACATCGTTTATAGAATGGATGATCTCGATAGGGTCAACTAAAAACTCGTGTGTGACAAATGAAGCGATCACGAATTTGTACTTTTCAAGATGCATGAAGAAACAGCCTCAAAAAAATAATTGAAACTTATTCAAGTTTCAATGGGCCGAAGATGCGTATGAGATGACCTCTTGTGGACAGCTGAAATTGCTGTTCAGCTAACGGCCTACGGGGGCGTACACAAGGGGCATATCAAGGAGAAGGAGCGAGAATAATATCCGCTGAAAGTGGTCGAGTGCAACCTAGACCAATATTAAATAAATAACGAACGATTGTTTCCGATAACGGGCTCTTTAGCTGTTAGTACGTAACCGAACAATGTAATCAGGCCGCGTAAAGGAAACCGCCACTTATAAGGAAAACATGAGCAATTGGGAAATAGCGGCCAAATTGTCTTAGAAAGGCAACCGGCCTTGACAGGATAGAAACAGGAAAAGGAATTTCTATTTCATTACGAAACTAGCAGACGATAAGTGACTGTCTAACATGAACAGCTTCGTTGATCAACATGTTAACAAATGGCTACGCCTGCCATTGAGCAGTCGTACAACTGCAATAGTCGTCATACTATCGGGGACAATATTGCCAATCGGTGTATTTATATTATGTCAAGTTCATCTGTATTGTGTATTATTTAATTTGTATCTTCATTAATTCAATGAAATCCATTTAACTAGCGTAATACCGGCTGATAATTAAGTCGCTTATGGTCGCTTCCATATGCTCAATTGCTATGGTTAATTAAATTAGAGTCACAAGCGAAGTGACGGGCACACCGAATGCCACAGCAGATTCACGCAGCGAATTCAATATGATACAATACGTCCTCACGTAGGAAATCTATAGCAATCTTTTATATGTGAAGAGAGCTTTTTGTTTTGTCTCAGAGGGCGTCTGTGATCTTTTACTCACGTTCCAGGTTTGAAGGCTTGTAACACGACATTCCGTACTGGATACGACTTGTCCACTATTAGAGCAGACCTACACCGAGGTAAAGAACGATTTTAGGTCTTCACAGCCCTCAGCTTCGTAACTACTTTCAGTCGACAATGCAACAAACGCCCAGACTAACACCTCTCTGAAAATCGTGTGAATAGTTTACGTAACTAAGCTTCGGATATCCCTAGCGTTCCCTATTGACGGATTCAATGCGTCCCTTGTGGCTAATTTAGCTACCCACCTGCAGGAGGAGAAGTGCCTCAGACTGTGCTACCCCTAAAAGCTAGAGCTAAATTCCAAAAAAAAAGCAACTCCGTCAAAAAAACTCAGGCAGAATAAGCTATGGATTGCTATGTCTAATTAGTTTATTCTGAGCCTGTCACATGTGTAGTTCAACGCACCCTGAGTCGACTTTACACCTCACCTTACCAGAGAACCGCCTGAAATTTCGCTTGCGGGTTCCGGAACACCCGCGTCCATACAATTCCTTTTTTTTTTCTATAAAAGTTTCAGCTCAAAGCGAAATTACAAGGTCTTTTTCCAAGTTCTATTATACGGAAGGTATTCAATATTACATAATTTGTTACCATGCCGCGAAGTCCACTGGACCTTCCATACCTTATGTTATTCGGAGACTCGTATTCAAGACTTTAGTATTATAACAAAGTTTTGAGAACAGGTTTTATACAGTTGCGTTTCTTCATCCCGATGGTACCAAGGTAGCCATTATTGAGGCTGGCGAGGAAGTCTTCATCAAAAGAAACGACAAAAAATTTTATGGATAAGTATCAAACGACGCATAGCCACCAGTCGATTGTGGCATTGGAGTAATTACAAATTAATGATACAAACAGCTGTGGAGCGCTGGCGAAGCTTGATAATATAGATCAGAATAAATAAATCTTATCCATAATAATGTAATTTATGTATAAAGTGAATAAAGTAGGCATAGGAATCTTTCGCTGACACAATTTTTCATTATGTTGAATACGACAAGCTACTAGCTAAACGGGTAACATTAAAATCAAGCAAAAGTAAAAAGATACCAGTTAGCAATTTTAATAGATTATAAACTATTTATTTGGCGGGCTAACTTAGGATCATTTAGATGGTCAGTCCTAGGACTGCCTACGCTCCTGATCTCTTCAACTCGACGTTTGTGAATGGTATTATTTTCACGTGTATACGACAACAGCTGCGGGCGAGTCTATTGCAAATTAGTATTTTCTTCTATCTAATCGACCAATACTTAGCCACTGACCGCTAGTTCGGTATTGCTTACTTGGCGCCCTTTTTTTTTCTAATTTGTGTAAGCTCTACCCAGCTTCTCAAATTTAGCGATACTTAATGAGGCTTCTTCAAATTGAATCCTTTCAGTTTAGAGAGTTCGAGCTTTCGGAGCTCCCACGCCTATCGTCTGTTTTACTGGTACTTTGCCAAGTTTTGCCAGTGTCGGAGAGCTTGTACCCAAAACGGCTGGCCGCAAGAATCTCCTTATCACGGGCATAGAATTCCTCCATAACTTGCGTTTCGAAAACTACAGATCCTTGGGCACCACCGAATTCTTTCGGAAGAATCGAACGGTCGATGATTCGGTGGAGAGACGCCAGATCGTTGCCGTGGGTCTTCACAAAAATACGCCGGAATGATGAAGAAATGAACTGAGAATTATATTCTCTATTCTATTTCCGTTAAAGTTAGTAATACCAGACTGAAACTTTTATCACTCTTTCCTAGGCAAGTTCCCCATCCAAAACAACTGGTATCGCTATTTGCTCAACCTGTAATTATTCCTACCATAGAGGCAAAATATCGGTTAAAAAACCCGGAAAACTTACCTGCGTCACTGACTCGCCGTCGGTGAGGAACGGGGCAATCATCTTCATCAAGACCTGATACCATACAGGTTCATTGATTACATGGACTCCTCGTATGGTGACGGGCATAGCGCCAGAAGAACTTTCCCCCATCACCTACATATCTTTACCGTACCATATTGATAATTTATTATGTGATCCGATAAGGCATTAAATCGCTAAAGGCTATACTAACCAAGCAGTTTTAATTTATACACCATTTTACAAGCGCGGTGTAGTATCTATCGAAAGTACTACATGGTTTTCACTTCTCTAAGTTCTACTCAAGACATACGGTGAAAAAGTTCCATTGATAATGACAATTAGAATGCGAGTGAAATGCCCCGTAAGGGTAATAACAAGCAAATACGACCGCGAAGAGCATACCTTCGCTAAGCTGGTCGGCACATAACGGATGTATTTGAAGGAGAACTTCTTTAAATCTACAACCATGCGAAACCCACGAACCTGAAATGGTTAACAATCCAAATTATTTTATAAGACAATAAAATGAATAATCATATTCGGCGAACGCATTCTGCCCAGTTATCAACCATATGTAAATTGAAATTTATTAAAACGGGCTGCTTTAAGTGCATGTATCCAAACGGGTACATTTGGTTCCGTGCAGTGAAGACTACTCCCATTTGAAAATTATCGATCAAACAAGATTCCATTAGAAACAACAGATACATATAATGAAGTTCATCGTAATTTGACGAGAAGCTTTTGCGTGTTTCACACCATCTAGCATCTTTAATTTCAAAGAGGCTGACTTCACTGAAAATCTCTTTCTTCTAAAGAGCACATAATATCCTTGGGGCGGGATCAAATGCAACGTACGGTGATGCCGTTGCTCGGAATATTTAGCTAGTTCTCGTCTTGGACTTTCATCACGGTAAGCATCTTCAACGGGAAGGTACAAAGGGCGATGATGTTGGATTCCCCTCCCCAGGCAGCTATAAACATTTTTGAGCCTGAATAAAAGGAAGATAATTATTCTGCGAATAGGAATTATCGACTTTGGCGTATCGGACCTGTCTGAATCGAAAGTATACGCATGTCTGCTATGGTAAAGTCGTTGTGCTCGGATTCACCGAATCGACACACGTTATGTGATTTGGCCTAACGAACCCACCATGAACAAATATGCCGAACATATAGCAGTGCCTAAGGCTGATGCCAAACAAAAACCGGACTAAGAGATCGGAGTCGTGGGATCGGTGTTGAAACGATGATTGTATTACAATACAGGATGATGTGAATTAATTGCTGGAAGAGTCTCCACAATCTCAGAATATAGCCCGACGATCTAGGCTTGGTATTATATGAGCAATTGACTATTAGTTTGTATCTTCCTATTTCTAACCTTAACCGAGCTATACACCCTTTATCCTTGCAAACTAATCTAGCGGCATTCAAACGCTTTAAATGAGGTTGATGGCTGTCCTCACCTGTACTTCAGGATCCCTCAGGAGCATGAGGACTTGCAAAGCCATTGGTGTGTACATTTCCTGAAGGTTGTGCCATCGTGACGGTTCAAAAAATTCGAATGTCGCTACAACGACAGTTGAACCTGCCAAAAATGATTAAAAAATTATGCTTTAAACTATGCTTCACTGATAAACAAGATGCATCTCGACAGAACAGCGAGCGAGATACAACTATGGACGATCGATAGTCAGCAGGGTAATCTATTCGGGTTATCGTAAGGATAGCATTAATAGGACTTGATCAATTTTATGACCTACAATATATATATATATATATATACATATATATATATATATATATATATATATGGGACTAAATCTAAAGCTGAGTTTTTTCGAGGATTGTATTTAATCAATAAAGGATTGTTCGAGGAAGATTTTTGCATATGCTGTGGCCAGCGGTGATGCTTATATAGGACAACCACCATCGACCGCAATGACAGCTTCAGTTTGGGATGAAAACCTCTAACCACTTGTGTACAAAGTATCGACAGGACCATGAATTTTCTTTACTACGCGGTAGGTTCAGCTGTTGAATACAACCATACGACTAGCCAGTTACATAATAATTGCCAAGTGCTCACCGTCACGCGGATTTTTTTTCGAAAGTATAAATGCTATATCATTGTCGAGCACTGGCTTATAACATAACGAACCGCGATTTATCGGGTAGTAATAAGCCGGATCAATTGTTCTTAAGCGGAAAAATCGTTGATACGTCTCAATAGCCTTTTCCTCGTTGAACTTGTTCACTCGTAGAAAAGCCATGACGAAAGTGGGCTCGAGGTATGGCACGAACTGACTTGTCTGCAAAGCTGCCAGCTTCCTCAACAACTTATCAAGAATATGCGGGGTTCGCGAAGGAATCTCGCAGAATTCGCGCTTAGCTACGTCCTGCCATGACATACAAGGTGATGCAGCTGTCGAGCTCGAGTCTCGATCACTATGAGGATTACCCATTACGGTATCTATTGAAACTGGCTCCAAGTGGACAATGATGTTAATGAATTGTTGCTATAAAGCAGACGCATTTGAAACACAAAATACGCGTATCGGAAACTCTCGTCAGAATCCTGCGTGTCGCAGAGAAGTTCTTCTTAGCGAGACAATTACTGATAGCTTCGTTCCACTTCGTTTTTTTCAGTTACCTAGAATTCGTCTGCGTAAAATCTTGCATAGTTAATTAATCATTTTACTGCAAAATAGATTTTTTTTCGCTGCTTTGAAAACCCGCCATGCTGCTGAGAAATGAGTCCTCCAATTGGGGGACTCGGCTTTCTCGCTGAAAGCCAATCCACAGCAATCTGTAATAGTCATTGTTAATTGTTAAAATGACTTACGTCTCATCACAAACATCAATAAGGAATTAATTAATAGTAACCAGAAGTCAACTAAAAAACGGTTTCATACAGTTCTGCCGTATAGCGCCGGTAAGGCGATAATTTCTTGCGAGCTAGTTTAAATTGCTCAGGCATTCTTGTGGTTTCGAAGCGTTTGTTGGACATATTTGCCAGTGTCCTTCAAAATGTATTTTCATAATTTTTTTTTATTTATAAGGTCCACACAAGTTAATCCATTGAGTTTATTTTTAATCAATTAATTGATCCATTTATTCACTGGAACGCCATGATAAGTTAACGCATATCGATTCTAGACATAAGTCACTTTTTTTCTCTCATTAAGTAAGACCTAACCTTGATCTCCTTAATTAGAAAACGTGATGATTGTGCATGGAAAATTCTAGGACCTTTACAGTGCAGTATCGCTGAGCCTACGCTTAATACAGCACGTCGCAACGCTTCTAGGGACTGATTTGAAAAGACATTTTTACAATTGTCTTCAAAGAAACTAAACCCGTCCTTTTAGAGCATGTACTAAACTTTATGTACCTTTACAGTTTTTTCCTTTTTTTTTTTTAATAATTTAATCGCATTATTATCGCTTTTGTCCGTTTTCCTGTTATGACGATTTTGTCTGGATAAGCGCTACAAGTTCATTCATGGAAATCTCAGTCGTTCCCCCCAATTAACTGCTGGAAAAAACCGGCCTTTGTGTATACTGATATTGTTTCGAGTTTCGATGTGTATCCACTCGAAGAACCCGGAGAAGTTCCGCGTCGCTTTCTTTATTGGTTGGCAGGCAGAAATCGGAATACAAGGAAAAAGTGTCAATATGTGGGGCGAATTAAGCAGTGCTCACTAGTCCTGTCGGTGGCAGAAAACGAGACTGACACTTGACCTTAAATGTGACCCAATAAAAAAGAATTTTAATCTGGGACACCACCGAAGGCCGAATCAACTTACTGATCCTGGGTGATGACATCCACTTCTCACCTTGTCAAATGATGGTCACGTAAAGAAACGGAAAAACAATCGAAGTACATAGCTGGCATAGTATTCCACTAGTACTATAATGAATAAACGAGTCTTAGAGTGCTCAATATCCCATATCATATAGATTCGACGAAATTCATTCGTAATACTGAAGCACGCGAAGGATTTCGGGACAATCATATTCATCTTTGTAAGAATGAGCTACGTGGAAAAGCAAGCTCAGAAATACTGACTTAACGTATTCCTACTCTGTAATATTTATTATTTTTCAAACGAATAATAATAATAATAACGGGACTGAAATATGATTGGCCGCATCAGAAGCCGTTTGTTGGCCATTGAGATGAAGAGGATGCAGTGCAACGTAGTTCTCATTTGTTGATTGTTTTTCTTGTAAAAATAACAAACGAAATTTAAACATAGATATTTGAATCTACAAATAATCGGTATGTTAAAACTGGTCATTTTCGGGCTTCTTAAGCATCAGAATAGATGTTTTAGAATCGTCATTTATAAGCTCATTTTCTTCTATTAATACAGACGCTTCAGTGTGGCTGCTCGTCCTATGCATCACCAAAAAGCTCATTAGGTATTTTTATGGTGGTTTATTTTGTGATGTACTTCCTACAAGCAGATATTACACGTAGATAGTACACGTACTCGTGTATTACATCCTTCTAGGAGAAATTGACGCTATATTGCTAAGCAAGCTAGTTTAGGACGCAAATTTTCTGTTATCGATTGTTCAGAGAGATTTTCGCATTCGAATCTTACATTGTAGACGAACTCAGATGGCAGATTTTAATAGAAGTGCTTTTTTCGCACTGTGCTACATTTTTTGGTAGCGTGACATTGCACCTTAGGTTGGGCACCGGGAAAACGATACCCAAGCTGTACTTTACAATTTCGCTCATCACTGAAATCCATTTATTACAATCGATCGACCTGAAAGTAGACAAATGGGCAACAGTTGAACTTAAATTATCAATTACCGGTCAATCCTTTCCAAATCTACCCAAGGTAGAAAAGATTATCAATCGAGGTAATTAAGATTATCAATCAAAGCCCATAGGCATAAGACTAAGAAGTAACAATTCTATTTCGGCCATCGACTTCATCACCGCTGTAGCCAATGTGATTCAACAATGTGGCACAAGTGCAGCGGCCAGACGGATATCTATAGGGGACAAGCCATATCTCGTTGAATCGCTCTGGTCGCGTAAATGGTTTACCTAACCAGGTCCCGCGATCGATCATCAGTAGATTTGCAGAGCCACTTGTGGCTATTTTAGCTATTTACTTGTACTTCATGAACGGACATGGAAATATGCTTCAGGGGCTGTGCTAGTTCAGAAAGAGTGACTCTGTCGAACAACTTCACTACCGGAACCATGTCATATAATGATGTACTAAAGTGGTCACGTTTCAAGAAAGTCGTACCTAGCTCACACTGAAGTTACTCTGTAACTAATTTTAGGCTTCAGCCATTTATTTACGGATGCTTCTGACGCCAACTAGATGCGTGCTTCAAAGACTGCCCAGTTGTCTCCTGAATGCATGTTTTAGTGCAAAAGAGGCTGAATATAATACAAGTAATATAACAACGGCTGGTCGCGACTTTCCCACCAGATATTATACTTACACTGGGACTAAATACAACTTTCAACTGAATGACCTCGGTATCGCTAAGGTAAGCTTTGAATTTAAGGTAGCCCTGCTTAGAAAAAGGAATGCTTCAGCCAGAGATCTTTTTTTCCTTTGGTCCATTTAGCTCGGCTCAGGGCTGGATAAAGAATATAGTAAAAGCCATAGACGAGTCACATTTAAAAGGTATACCAGGCGGTTTTAATGTTAAAACTACCAGAATATTTTAGAAGTTCTTTTAAGAATGAACGAAGAACGGAATTGATATCTGGGAATTTACCATACAGAAGGAGCCTACTACCAGTTAGATGCCCCGAAAATGGCGAACGATGAGGTCAGCTCCTAGTGCAAAACAGGAGCTCGCAAAAAACACCTCGGTTCTGGACTTCAACGCTACGAACGGCCACATACAGCTGGTGATTCCTTCGGTCGTGACTACATCTCGCCAGGCTCGAATATGGTCATCTATCGATATTTAGAGGCAACTAAATATGTGTTTATAACTTTGACCACTGATGATTTTTTCAGGTTCATTTCGTACTAAAGAAGGCTTAATTTTGACGGGAGAAATAGAGTTAACGTATGTTAATGAATTAATCCAAATTTTCAATAATTTTACCATTTGCTTTGGCAACGAGGCTTCTATTGTTTTAGAGGCTCTGATAAGCATTTAATTGTCACCTCCACACGTTTTGTCTAAGAAACTATGAAAAATATAAGAAAATATCTTTAAGAAAGTGAATAAAGAGCATGTAGATAGTGGAATAGGACTAAAAGGAACATACTATTTATCCAGGTTGTATATGCACAAAGCGGTCTGAACAAGCAAACCAAGGTATAAGCGAATCCATAAACATCTCAATACTAACTTAAATTTTTTGGCTTCTCCATTACCATTCGGGTAACTGGGATCGTATCGAAGTCTATGCATTAGGCATACTGATCGGTCTCCCGCTCACAGTCAGGATATGTATATTGAAATCTGTTTTTAGATGTACAAAATGGGCTCAATCAGTTCGGTCAATGCATCCAGTCTAGTCGATGTGGATAAGCAGGCATTGTACAAATAGCCAATGTACTACGAATCGCTAGCACACTTCTCGAAACTTTTTCCCACAAGGATCGCAATTTACCGCATAGAAATCACACTCAACCAGCTGCGTGATGGTATAGTGTTGATGCGTTTACGTGGTATATTCGAGAATAGACAGTGGTTTAGGTTTAATCCTAAAAAAACGTTCCTCTCTAGTAATGCTTGATGGAAGCAGCGGACGTTAAACTCGACAATTTTAATTGTGGGTCGTCCTTGGTCGGACAGGCTTAACTGTTTTTCAAGGGACACGTTCGTCATCCCCAATACATTGACAGCAAGACTGACGCTACTTGTATGATATGTAGATAGGGATAGTTAAATAACTTTAGTTGACAGGGTTTCTGGCGTGTATACATGGCATAATAATAAAACTATATGTTTTGTTGCTTGTCTATCCTAATTAACTTGAGTAGGCCTAACTTATGTGCAGTTTAATACGCATTGAGCTGAGTGTGCATCTGAGGTGCCTTAAGCCTATTTGGGGGTTCTGCGCTGTAAGATTGCTTTACGCTGAATATAATTTTTGTATAGTAAAGTTTAACGCAAAGTGATCTTTCGTTCTTTAGTATAGAAAACAGTTGACCGAAATTACTGGTATATCATAAAATAACTTGAGCTTTTTATGCTTAGCCATTCATAGGCTCGTATTCGAGACACTGTGGCAAATTGCAAGAACAAGCTTCATGCGGTAATCTTTTTTCGCCCAAATAATACTAAGGCAACTATTATTACGAACTGCTAGCACGAGGAGGTCTTTAACAAAGTCACGAATTTTCTGGGCAATTGATACAAACCGCAGCCGGAAAGCAAGGCAAATGAATAGTGAAAATTTAACTTACTAGTACGGTAATTGTAAGGAGAACCAACTTCATCATTTGTAACTGAATAACCACATTATTTATGTCATGCAGAGGTATTTTTTCACTGAGCAAATTCTTATTCTAAAGAGTAAGCCACAGACTTCAGCTTAAATTAATGATGATAAAATTAAAAGTCCAGGGGCTTATGAGTCATTAAACACACTTTTATCTAAATTTAATAATACCTTTGTACGATATCAAAATTCAAAATCGTGCTTGTCATAATTCAAGTAGAGTATTACAGTTACATGGTTAGAATTAGAAATGTCTACGCTTCATAACCGAATAATTCGACAATTTAAAGTTGGTAAATGGTGCTACTCTCACGTGTGCACGACCGTAAAGCTTTAATAACAGCCATGTTGCTGTGGACAAGCCAATTGCAAATAAATACTTTCTTCGATCTAATCATTCAATAGTTTTGTTAGTAACTCGGGATAACTATCACTTTAACTTTTCCCAGGTTGTTTTGTGTTCGGTTTTTTCATTTGTGTAAGTTCTAGTGAGCTTCTTTTAAACATAGAGCCCTCTATGAAGCTATTTTCACCATAAATCGAGTCCACGTTAGTTAATAGAGTTTCAAAATTTCCGAGGCTTCCGGGCTTGTAATCATCACCTAATATACTAATACTTGTCGAGACTTCATTGATAGACTTTTCTAAATGGCCAGATATTTTGTACTCTAGATCGCTGGCCCTGAGCGTTTTGTTTTGTTACAAGCGCATCATCGCTTCGCAAGTTTCGCTTTAATCCCCGATCCCTACCTAATTGTTTTGCAAAAGTCAAGCAGTCGACGATTCGGTGGAGAGAGGCTAAATAAAGTGAAGTTTTCAGAAAAACAAAAATAACATACAACACCATTATGAAGAACTCAATTGGACATGATGTTCTCTAACTGGTTGCTGCCAAAACTAGAAATACCATACCGGCACACCTTATCGTTGCTCTTTTCGTATATCTCGTAGGTATATGACTGTCACTGCTTTCCACTAGTTCTACTGGGTCTTATGGAGAAACTGTCTTCCGGCCAGGTATCCCACACGCCAAATACCAGTTAAAATGTAGCCTGACGAAAATGAATTACCTGTACTACTAACTCGTTGTTGGTAACGAATGGGGCAATTATTGATCTTCATTAAGTCCTAAAACTAGAAGGGTTCGCTAACCAGCTGGGCTCCTATAATAGTGGTAGGCATAGCGTTGGGAAGACTCTTCTCCACCAGCTGGATGTCTTGATGTGCTACGATGGGGTGTTACGTTCTGCAATTCTAAATAGTTCGATTTTATTCTGTAGATCCAACGGAAGACGCATACAAAGACTAAGACTGCGAACAAAATGGCACTTACCGGTGCTATCAAGAAGAAAAGGGTAATGACAACCGTCCTCAATCAAGTTGTTTAGCATGTAACTGATGTATCTGTACGAAAACTCCTCAAAATGAATTTACTCGATTTTAAGGATAAACTATGCCACTGTTAAAGGTTTCTTTAACTGAAGCACACGTTCATATTACACAATGACCGATAGCGTTTACTTTAAGAATGACTTTTATTAGGAAACTGTTAGCGTCAAACAGAGATCAGCACATGCGATTCTAGGCAAATTTTCTATCGACTTCATATGAAACCTAAGGTCTATATGCGATAAAAACATTAACTTTACAAGTTGGTTTTTTCAATTTTTCTTCTTGTGATTTGGGTGCGGACGCTGAAAAATAACTGGAATAAACTTTTTAATCGACTTCGACAAATACCAGCGTACGCTGAAGTTCTTCGTCAACATCGGCCAATTTACGTCTGTTCTTAAACTGAGCTGGTAGAATCTAGTAAACCTCACTACAAGGAACATGCCAATACACTAAACTGATCTTATTTGAACAAAAATTTATCGTTCACTGCCAACCATCTTTCACCTTGAAACAAACCCATTTCACAGGAACCTTTTTAGATGACCGATTGTAATTGATGCGACATATTAGGTCTTGACACTCGACACAGGTGATGCTGTTCCATAGAAGAAACGTTTAACTAGAAGGATTTTGTCTCAATAGGTATCCCGAGTGATAGGGTTACAGACGGCGGTGATGTTAGACCCTCCTTTCTACGCAAAAGCACCTCTGAATAATAGACGATTTACGATGTTCTTATTATTTTCCAATAAGAATAAACGACTCATGTAAGGTTGATAGTTGTCGTTAGCGGTACTTGACGTCCCTCAGCAAGAAGCGAAAGAACTTGCAAAGCCGTTAGCGTGCATGTTAGTTGTCCCCTCCCCCCCACCACCACCACCACGGCGTTCGAAAACCTCATTTGTCGCCATAATAATGACTGGACAATTTAATTGAACTTAATTAATTGTCAAAAATGTTGAAAAATTCTATTTGATAACGTAGAGTGCAAAAGGATGCATCTGTCGAACTCATAGAAATAGGATTCCTACACAAAACTGTTTGGCACCTTTAGTGAGTGCCAATAATCGTTCACGAAATGTATTTTCATAATTCGTACACAAAACTAAATATATTTTTCTTAATAAATACTTTGTAACCGACAGGATCTCTACCTGAGCCTATGTAAAAATTATTAATTCGTCGACTTATTCATCCAAACATCATGATAACTGAAGGTAGTTCTAGATGTGAATGACCTTTTACCTATTAAATTAAATCTTTTGCATTCCTTGCTTGAACGTGACTAACAGTGCGATAACTTGTATGGAAAACTTCTACAACTTCCACAATACGGTTGCATTGAATAACGCTGAGCATGTTTGTAATCGTCTTCAAAAAGTAAATAAACTCTTGTTTTTTTTTGATTTCCCGCGCGACGGACCGGCGCACCACCAGCGTTTTCGTCTGCCGACCCGCTACGATGGTGTGGAGCGGTAAGAATTCATTCATTCGTTGGAAGCTTGGTTAGCCCGCCGCAGGTTCCCTCCAATTAAGTCCAATTAAAAGATCAGAACTTTTTGGTTCGTGTGTGATGATAGAGCTTTAAACTTCGATGTGTGACCGTTCGAAAAACATGGAAAAGTTTGTGGACTTTTCTTTACCTGTAGATCGAAATTGAGGTTGATTTGCGCTGTATTTATTAGTGGCATTAAATATTGCTAGACGAATTTCCGATCGTGCGCATCTATGCATTTAGCTTTCATTTTTTTATGCGTTTAAAGTTCTAAATGCTCGGAAGCGTTTTAACGCTTGAGCGAATGCGTTAACTGATGGTTACGTATCACTTCTAAGTGTTTCAAAGCAGAGAAAGGGCCTGCAACAATTAGATTCCATACGGTTATTATTAAAGTGTTCAACTTTAATTATAACCGTATGGAATAGCTTCTAAGAATTGCCTTCATAATATCACTGAACTTCACGGAAGTCGATCACCAAATCAGGTGCTATAACAAAATGATATCGCAAAATATGTACTGATATTTATGAGCTACGCTCTAGGTACAGGTTGTTTCTCAGTAGAAGGCTACTGTATCGTATGAAAAAGGGCTTACGAAGCTTCAGGGTGTAGCTATTCAATTGTTCTTTTAGCATTAGCAAATCTAGTATATTTTTGGTATAATGTAATCACGTTTGTCAGAGCTATCACAAAAGCTACCATAAAGCATTTTCTAGAAACATACTTTTGCAAAATAATTCTGGAACGATTAAAAACGACAACCATTGTAAAATATACAAATTAAAACTATTTCTATTTCAAGTGCATTTTTAAGCCATTTATTTCAGATTCATTAGATTTAAAAAAAATACACCCTCAAGCTACTTCCAATTATGATACTGCAAAGTCTTAGCAAATGGTGGAGTAGCGTGTATCATGTATTATCTGGGAACGACTGAGAATATTTTTAGAAAGTACGGATTATTCATAGATCTGTAGAGTCAGTATAATCCCAACATTGAACAAAAGGTGCCAATTTTCGAATGAGACAGAAAAATTACCACAAATTAAGTACCTCACATAAGTAATTTGCTATGCTCAATGAACTCAAGGCAAGTTTAGTTAACACGTAGCATCGTTAGGTGACCCATGTGTAAGACCCGTATTCTGTGGCCAGAATAATCTGATTGATTTTAAAATGCACTTCTTTTTTCATTTACTACCTGCTGTTATCAGGATGGCGAGTCCATCAATGAGAGAGTTAGCGCAATCCATCACCGCGACGGGAGAAGCTATTAAGCAATTTCAGGTAAGTGCCGGCTTAACCTGTATAAACTATCTAAAATCGTATGCATTATAAAGACTATGTTTTACTGTTATGGCATTTGTTCACTACTGTGATGTCCACACGCACTAAATCCCGAATGCCATATGCTTTGGCCTTTGTTTGGGACTAATTCAAATATAACTCTTTAATTTTATTCTAACTACAAGGTACTGAACAATTAACCTACTGAATATTTTTTTATTATTGACGAAATCTTCTATTCTATGGTATGCTATCTCACCTATTGAGAAATACGGTGTTTCCCAAAAGAGATTTGCAGGGCAGTAACTTACGTGAATCTGTGTGAATATTTTATTTAAATTATTGTTTTTCTATAATAATTGTTTCCCCTATAATGAATAAAAAAAAACATTCTTTGACTTATTACTAGTCACGCCAGATACAGTAAGATTTAAAAAAAACTTGTTCCTTAAACGTGCGAGACCAGCCGTTCACAGGTATAACTTAAATCATTACTGGTTCAAAACAAACCTTATTTACCCTTATCCTTCAGGAGCAGTTTCTGCCATCATTGCGCAAGCAGACTTCGGGAGACTCGAAGAAGGATTCGAATGGTGTTGGGACTGAGGCAGTACCATCTGCCGCCAGACACGCTGAGCTCATTCAAAGCATCATGGACAATATGGACCAAATCAAACAGACGGCTGGAATAGCTTCAACCAGACAGACACTCCCAGTAATATACATATATGTTTGTTGTGTTAAGAAAAATACAGTTGTGTTGTATAAACTCAAAAATGTCTAGTTTCAAGGTTGGTGTTTTCGATCCGAGAGACTGCCCAGCGATGGTACTGCAGTGCATGACACAGCCTGGTACCTAAGGCATATTGCATCACATTTTGCGCAGATTCACGTAATTAGTGAATAAAACACGTGGTGAATGAAAACCCACGGTTCCACATAGGATGTGATAAAACTGATGCACTGCAAAACGTCTAAATATGTGCCGGTCTGTCCGACGCTTTTCGTGCTTCATTAATTATATTTTGTATATTATATAAGTCGGGATGGATTTCCGCCATACTTATCTCTCACGTGTTGACAAACTCCGAGTAGGCGGAGTTGATGAAATTTGCGTCTCAGATCCTCTACAGTAGTGACCTGTCGCCTAGGAGGTACGCGTATCTGTTCAAGGGTGAACAATGGGCCCATGGTTCACTTTGAGAACAAAGATAGAGTTCGGTCAAATTTTTCGAGGTGGTTCGTTGTAACATGTCTACAAAAAAAATTTTCTATAGGAAGCGGTCGAGGCCATTTTTATTTAGGACAAAACCGACCCTGTATGCAAGCAAAATTTCACACAACATTCATTTAGTGTACCTGTCTGTGATGAGCTCTATGAGAGCTCGGTTGCTCGCGGGCAAGATCACTTCCAGATAATTGAAGCTATTCACATATTTAGGAAACACACATATTCACATATGTAAAAAAACAGCGAGGCAGTCTTTACTGCCAAACTTAATAACCTCTGTCATTAATCAAAGGTACAGCCTCGTTCACGCAATAAGCCTGGGGAGAGCTTATTAAACGTGAAACCGACTCCATTGGAAGATGAAAAGCTCGGGGTACAGAAATATTTCTACCTATTTCACCGGATGTTGATTGCGAAGCGGCCGATTTAGCAGCAGAAAAAACGACGGAGAACATGGGCTATCATCCTATGAAACACCGGTTGTTTGCACGAACTACTACATTTCGACATCTATATTTATCGAGTTTTCGTATTATATGATATTGGCCCAATTGAATGCACCATGTTCTATGAGATTCCACATTTTTCAAGCTTCACCAAACTTTTGTCGCTGAAAACAATATTAAACATCAATTTAAAATCTGCGAGCACAGGGAAGAACGCCGCCTTTGGCCTAGAACAGACCCGGTATATTTCCTGAAGTAGTACATCACAAACTGCGGAAATGAAATGTTCTGTGATTCATGCTATTCAAACAAAAGGCATAAACGAATTTTTAGGAATGTCGTTAACAAACATTTGATGGTATGAGCCAGAAACATGCAGCAGCAAGTTTTCTTCGTGATTGCCTTCGTGCAGGAGGGCTTCATTTTAGCTTGTCGGCGAGCGCCTATGGCGTAAGCAAACATTAAAATAGATTTTCCCAGCAAAGGAACATGCCATGCGCACTTGTCAAGTACTCATTGCGGATCAGGTCCGGACCAGCAACACTGATTGGAACTGTTCCAAGTAGTGCAGTACCTCAAACACGGAGATCTCAGCCTCAGCTCCTCACACATAATAGGTGTTTATTCATACCATACACCAACGAACAAAGGCATTATTGACAAGGTAGTGTTCGCCGTCGTGAACAGACTTGTGAGTTCTCGATTTAAATTCTCGCCGAGTAACATGGTACGGCGTTGACTTTTTGCAGCACAATATACTTCTAACGGGCAGACTCTAGTATTTGTTGGTACCAGTTTTTCGAAAAAGTTAAGAGGTGACCTCATAGCCGGGTGACGCTCGGTTAATTTCCGCGTCCGGCGCAGTATTGTACAAATTGCGGTGGGCATTATCGGTTCGGGTGATTGCGGATAATTCTAGCCTTTTTGTCAGTTCGGATTCGGTATAGGCGTATATATATCGACCTCACGTCCCCGTTGCCGGATCTTGCGATACCGTCAACGGGGTCGTGAGGTTGGAGCCTTAGCTGGAGCTATCATAATAAATAGCTTAGCGTTTCTTTTACGTGGAGTTGTTGTTCTCTGGAGAAACAGCTTGATTCCAACCAGTACCAACCATGTTCCGATCGCCCCATATAATTCTCAAACATTAACGGGTTAAACATGCTGCTTTATTTTAGCTCGTGCCAAAGACCTTTAGGCTAAGTTCTAGGCGTCTGAAAATACTCGTACAGGCTAGTACAAGCTTCGTTAACTACGAGATGCGCATAACTGACGATGAATCACGCTGCAAATTGAGTTCGGCAGCTAGTTTTGACTATCTTCGAATGTTGGTTAATTGAAATAGACACTAAAAATGTAGGCCGTACTCTAAGTTATTGGATCTCAAACTCATCTGCTTATATATGAAATAAAGTAATAATGATCTGAAGAATATCGACTCTTTATTGCAGGTTCGTCCGGAATCGTTAGGCGATTTGAGTCTTCGAGGGGCACCGGTTGTTCTCGCTCTTAGTGAGATCCCCCAAGCCCGGTTAGTGGCGGCAACTCGGGCAAAGCTGGCGCAGGCCGACGGTCTGATACACGATGTCGAGCAAATCGAAAAGCTTTTACAATGAGCGGACGGAGTTTTAACGAAGTAACTGCTGCGCATCGTCTTAACGTATAACAATCATTGCCATTAATATCATAAAAGCATGTTTTTGTGAGTCTACTATACAGAATCAATTCAAATAATTATTGTTGTTAAGACGATCCATTCTAAAGGTCGCAGAAATGCGTATATGAAAAGCGCCTGAGATGTTTGTTTTGAACATTACAGACTGATATATCCCCCATTTAGTATAGGCTAGATATGATGCCGGAGAGGACAGCCAACTTAATAATGATTGGTGTCAAGAAATTTCAACTCTTGCAGGAAAACACAAAAAAAAACAACTTTCTTTAATTCAATCACAGTATAGCCATCGACCTATTATGTGCATTTATGATAATCTAGACGTAATTAATGTGGCTTCTTACGTAAAGCAAATACAATTTCAGATAGCCGAACTCAGCTAGAATTTGTCGCTGTAAAACTAAAAAGGTCCACCTGTCACAGCGCAAGCTCGTCCAGTTTACAAGGCTTCCTGGTCCACAGCGCAATGCATGATGGCACTGTGGAGGTACTTGTTACAAACAAGCCTTGTTACCTTGACCTCCGTTGAAATAGTCGGCTTTTATAGATCAATTACAAGCCTATTTTAAAGATGTCAAAAGGTCTCCAAGACAAAGGTGACAGCTGGAAGCCCCGTTCTGTCAAGCAATATAGTTTGCGTCCAGTACCTAAATGATGCGACCAATAACACACCACGTTATCGCAAGAAATAAATGCTTCTACTTCACACAGTCATAATAGTTTTGGTCGATTTAACCTCGGTACTTTTTAATATTATTTCCAAATTATAGGAAGTAATATCGTTCGTATAAAATTAAAAAAATAACAGTTCTCTCTTTTTTGTATTTTTTTAAACAGGGATGTTAATTATGACTATTATTTTATGAATAGAATGATCCAGCTAAGCTCTTAACTGTTGCTACAGTGATGATGTTTGGCTAATTTTGTTCGTTTATCAGCATTTCGGTAAAACTTTCTCTTGTGAATTGTTTCTGTCATGTAATAACTCGTATCGAAGGTAGTTTCCGATGATTAATAATGTCAACTATGCACTTATCTACCGCAGTCTAGAGAGACAATCCCATAAGGGCATCGAGGAGACCATTACAGATTCGACCATATGAAAAGTTCTTGAAAAGTTATAAGTAGAAACTGGAGAAACGCTGTCGCAATCCTGAAAATATTTACGAAAGAACGTTGGGACAGGATGAAAACCTAAATAGAAATCAAGAAAAAAATACAAATGAAAAATAATCAGCATCTTTACTAGTATCTCGTCTAAGCTATTAACCCAAGAATCGCACATACATGTTGAGTCTTGCTATAGAATGCCTATATAATCAAGTATTAATTTCTGTGTAACTGCTCTGCTGAGGGCAATTATATGAACAATTTCATCTACGAAGGTCAAATTAATGCAAGACTTCATCTGTTTTTTTTGCCAGAAATCTGTCGATAAGCCATTTTTATTGGGTCTAGTATATACATTGAGGCTTGCTACTGGTTCTTTCATTTGAGCATTCTGTGGTTTGTCTTTTTTTTCTTTCTTTCCATTTCTTCCGTTTTCTATGTCGGCTTTGTCTATTTCGCCTATTTTCTATTTACATGATTCGAGAAAAGGAGTTACATTGTGACGAAGCCAGATACCACGATGCTTCCGCCTATACCAACAATGGCCTCGTAGTCATTTCAGCGGTTTCATACGTGATAATCCACATTGTTGATTTGCTGTTATCAAGTATTCTACGATTACGTGTGAACCATTCGTGTTAGTACCACTAAACTTGACAGAATGCGGGTATCGCATATTTCCTGCCCTTCCTCGTTAAACATTTTCTGTTCGACGCTACAAACAACGGCAAGTTTTTGGACAAAACATGGGTATATTGCGAGTGTAAAGCCAAACAACCTATTCAACGCGTCGACCCTGTTTCTAATAATTCTTCTTGTCATTGATATGAAGTATTAATCTCTTTCCACTGTCATCTGCGCCATGTCCTAATACGCTATTTCGTGCTGATGCTGTCCTAATATTTATCGCACGCACATCTGCAACGTGCCTCGGATCGGAAGCCTTTTATTCTGAGCCGTGTTCCTTTCGTGGTCCTTGCCCATGTGACCCTTTTATCCCACTAAACGCATCATCTTTGTTTTAGGCTTCTCTCTTTTCTAATAGGATAAACATTTTCTGTTATAACGTTGTTACCATTTCCTGTTCCAACCCTCTTTTTCTTTGAATTGTTTACCCTTGCACAGTTTTTCATCGCGTATTTATTTCAGATGTCACCCGTTCTTGCATGGCATTCACACTTTTCCGAACTCGTGCTATTATTTTCGTATTCATTGACATATCCAACCGACCGCACTAGTAAGATAGTCACTCTCGCTTTTTCAATTAATCGTACTCATTATCTCATTCATCATTCTTTCTAGCTCTTCGTATTATTGCGGTCGATCTAGTTTTTGTGTGATAATAATTATAATTAATATATTCCACCTACGCGAATTGTTTTTCGCGCGAAAGGTCTCTTAAATCTGTACAGTTCTATCTAGTTTGTTACACAACAAAGCAAAATCATCGATCGTCACCATTCATCATTAACATGATCATAGCCACTAACATAAACATATGGACCACGGCTTCTGCGTGCGTATGTTCTATAACATCATAAATAGGCGAGACACACAGTGCCAGCTCGCGGATCCGAGATGCTTCCCTCTCCACCATCTCCTACTTTAGTAAATTTGTTGATTAATCAACAGTAGCAATAGTACTGGGTAAACTTTGTATTGTTGCACATGTGAGAAAATACGAATAGTAATAACAATATTAATGATAGTAATAATAATAATGATGATAAATAATAATAATAGTCGTTGTAAGTCTTCACCATAAATGTTAGAATTATTATAGCCATTTTCTGGCATTGGGTGCGTTTCAAAGTCACAAATCATCTTACGATAACTCTCCCTCGTTACAGCTATATTTCATCCTCCTTTTCTTTCTCTCCTTCTTTTCTGCCAAACACATTTTCTTTTTATTTGGTATGATGTCCTTCAAGACCCTGTCACGGACGGACTTCATTAATCAAATAGAAAAAAAAGCTATTTTCTTCAATTTTGAGACTTGTTATTCTAATATGCTTAACTGTTAGCCCGTTACGGATTACGCATTTAAAGTATCCAACAAAATTGGTATGAAAAAACTTTGCTTTTTTTACTATGAAGGATCGAGCTAAACGATGTTCTATAGCTATTCCGACTCGCTCAGCGAATCGCACGAGGGCCCGAGATGCCGTTTCGCCGCTCACAGCTGCTGTGAATGCATCGTAAAGTTTTCACAACTAGCTTTTCCGTTGCCGGGTGCCAGCAAACTATAATAGATTTCCACTTTATATAGCTCTCTCTCTCCCTCTCTCTCTCTCTCGTGCATGTGTGTGTGCGTGTGGGTATTTAGGTGGGTGGGTGGGTGTCTGTGTGTGGGTGAGGGTGTCTGCGGATGTCTGAGTGTGTGTCTGTCTGTGTCTGAGTGTGTCTCTGTCTGTGTCTGAGTGTGTCTCTGTCTGTGTCTGAGTGTGTGTCTGTCTGTGTCTGAGTGTGTGTCTGTCTGTGTCTGAGTGTGTGTCTGTCTGTGTCTGAGTGTGTGTCTGTCTGTGTCTGAGTGTGTGTCTGTCTGTGTCTGAGTGTGTGTCTGTCTGTGTTTGGGGGTTTGTGGGGTTTGTGGTGGTTTGTGTGTCTGTGTGTGGTGTGGGTGTTTTTGTGTGGTGTGTGTGTCTGTGTGTGGTGTGTGTGTCTTTGTGTGGTGTGTGTGTCTGTGTGTGGTGTGTGTGTCTATGTGTGGTGTGTGTGTCTATGTGTGGTGTGTGTGTCTATGTGTGGTGTGTGTGTCTATGTGTGGTGTGTGTGTGTGTGTGTGTGTGTGTGTGTGTGTGTGTGTGTGTGTGTGTGTGTGTGTGTGTGTGTGTGTGTGTGTGTGTGTGTGTGTGTGTGTGTGTGTGTGTGTGTGTGTGTGTGTGTGTGTGTGTGTGTGTGTGTGTGTGTGTGTGTGTGTGTGTGTGTGTGTGTGTGTGTGTGTGTGTGTGTGTGTGTGTGTGTGTGTGTGTGTGTGTGTGTGTGGGGTGTGTGTGTGTGTGTGTGTGGGTGGGTTGTGTGTGTGGGTTGTGTGTGTGTGGGTTGTGTGTGTGTGGGTGTGGGGTGTGTGTGTAGGTTGTGTGTATGTGTGGGTGTGGGGGGTGTGTGTGTGTGTATGTGTGTGTGTATATGTGAGTGTGTGGGGTGGGTGTGTGTTTGTTTCTCTCCCCCCTCTCTCCCTCTCTCTCTCTCCAAATTAAATACCTTCTGTACAACTAAATGCCTAACTACGAAAAATAACGAAATATTACTAAATCTGAATTGAGTGCCTAAGCAAAGCAAACGAGATTATTCACGTCCGTGATACGTGTCATCCGACGAGCGCCGTACCTCTTAAATGTTCCCCCGTCACTTACAGTGGTAACCCGTGCTATTGACTCACCGTCAATGCCTTCTATATAGCATAGAACCACTTTCGACATAAACTCCCTGATCGTTTCTCAACGGGTTACGGTAGCTAGACCACTCACATGACCATATAATATACACCGGGGGGAACTTCGACGTGGCCCTGACGACATTTTTGTGCGATCTGTTTATAAGGCGTGAGACGACAATAATTATAGTTTTCTGGAGTCACTCTTATCGGTCATCACGCCTATCGAATATGTCCGGTAACCTATCGAAGTACGATTCCACTCGAGCGTTAATCTCTCTATATGCTGCTGTTAACGCCTATGATATAACCAACTATATTTATATAAAATCTGTTCATGTTCAGGTGCCGCCTGGAATATTCGCCACACCATAGGTGACAGCTTGCCAACCTCATCCCTTACAGGTAAAACGATAGATCAAATCGACAACGGGAGCTAAATGCTATACATAGACAGGGTTGCCTTTGGCATCCACTTGCGGAGTTTCCTGTTCTTCTTGAATTTGTTCGGCAAACCGCAATGGGTAAGCCTGGCCGCCATCATCAAAGAAACGTCGAAATGTGAACTCGAGGAAGGCATGATCGCCGTCACGTTCTGGTGGCATCCCGTTCAGACCTTTGGTAGCGTCATCCATCCCGCTTAACGGCATTTCATATTTGTCAAAGTTCGACGTATCCGCCGGATAACGAATCTGCGGAATGTATGGTGCAGTAGTTTTTCTTACTCCACCTTCGAAATCGATGCCGCTAAAGAAAGGATGAGCCTTAATCTCGTATGCGCCCTTCACACCAAGTCGCTTCTCCTGACTGGTACATAATGCTCGAATGAGGCTATTTGCCTCGGGACTCAGCTGGGGTACCGGTGGAAACGTTAGATGGGTCTCCCAGTGGATCACTTTGTATTGCGTTTCGGCTGGCTTCGATGCGTGGAACGGCGCCTGACCTATCAACATCTCGTAAAGAATGACTCCCACACTCCACCAGTCACACGCCTGGCCGTACCCTTGTCTCAGCAGTACTTCAGGCGCAATATAATTCGGAGTACCGACGAGACTTCGGGCAAGACTCCGCTGCTGGTCTTTTCGACGGCGGCGTTCTAGGGGTTTCTTGCACGAACAATCCTCTTCTTCGCACGCGTTGAAGTCCATTGAGTCTTGGCGAGCGTGGTCACCTCCCCGCTGATAGTACTTGGAATTGTGTGTCCACCGAAAGCCAGTGCAGAGACCGAAATCCGTCAGTTTGATATGCCCGTCTCGATCGATCAGAATGTTGTCGGGTTTGATATCGCGGTGAATGAATCCGAGTTTATGAACACTTTCTAACGCGCACGTCAATTCGGCGATGTAAAACCGTGCCAAGGACTCCTCAAACACGCCTGGTGACAACCATTGAATAACAAAAAAAAAGAAGGAGCGAAATAACTGTTAGTCCAATTCGTTTATTCCATGAAGTAAATAGTTTGTATCATACGCGAATCATCAAGTTATGTATCTCAAAATTTTCTAGTGAAATACGATCACAAAATGGTCGTTCGTATGTATTGGTGCTATATTGTACTAACCAAACTTAATTAGCAGTGTCATCATGTCGCCCCCAGCAATGTAGTCCATGACAAAATAGAGACTGTTCTGATCCTGGAAGCTGTAATATAGCTTTACCACCCATTCATTATCTGCTTCAGCCAAAATATCACGTTCGGCCTTGACGTGCGCCACCTGATTTCGCTTGAGAACGTCTTCTTTGCGTAGAGTCTTCATTGCATATAACTGCTGGGTGTCGACCTTCTTAACGAGGGCCACTTCGCCGAATGCGCCCATACCGATGATTGCTATTTTGTGGAACATGCTAATCTCCATTTTCGCACGTCGCAACCGAATGTAGTTCGATTCCTTCTGATGTAACATCCTACGCATCTGCATTTGAGCCTCGGACGACAAGCCCACCTTGGCCATTTCCGTCTCGAGTTGTTGCCGCCTCTGCTGCCGCTGGTGGTGGTTCTTCATCACGTTCTCGACATGCTGCTCCATAAAGAACTTGTATGCGTCGGGACTGTAGTTGCGTACTTTGGTGTCGTCGCGTTCTATCGACCATTTTTTCCGCGGCGGAATGGGCGACTGATGTCGAATCGGCTCCTCGGAACCGCCGCTCTCAGCGTCCTTCGACGACGAGCCGACGCCGATTTCGGCCCCAGGAGCCGGATAGGGCACTCCGCCAACTCCTGGTAGCGGACATCCCACGGATGGAGCCATACCCGGCGGAGCTCCCGCGACCAAGAACGAACACGAGTCCGTCACGGGGCTCTCGGACCGAGAGCTGGAGCTGTCCACATTCGTGTTATCTTGGCTGTGATTCGTTCCTGAAAGTAAAGAAACAAGAGGCTACTCAAACTGCTAGACATGGTGCGTTGCATTCTAAATGCGATAACATATTTCTTCCTGCTCTGATCATCGGTTTAAATAAAGCGAATATTATTATATCTCGGAATTTTAAAAAAAAAGTTTACAATGTCGCCAAAAAAATACCCGTCGTGCATTAATTTCACTTTGAAATTTTCCGACTAAATATGCATTGTAAATACTTAGTCAATTTATAAATATGTTGCTTTCAATTTTGGAACCCAGCTAACACTACGAAACCAAACGATGTTTTTCATCTCATCCTGAAGACAAACGCATATGGTGTGTGACGTGGGCTCGCTTGTTAAGCGTAAGTACGAATATATATATGCCCCGTCTACTTTGTTCCAAACAACTGCACCTATGTATTACAAAGACGCAAGGCAATAACAGCATTTGGAATAATCAAGATAATTTCCTGTATATAACAAAATATCATCACAACACTTGTAAAGATTTTACTATAACTCATTAAATAGTGTATGACCTATGACAAAGTGTCTGAGCAAGAGACAGTGATAGATGCGTCTCTATGATCAGAACATCGGGCCAACTCAATCGAGCTCTGTGAATTCACCTCAATACATTTCTTCTCGTTCATGGCACAAGCGACTTTTGTCATGCAACGTGAGAAACTAAAACTACTAAGCGGCCGTGAAGCTTTGTGACGTCTTGATGCGTGCCCACCCGTTTTTGTGGGCGCTGCAAGTTATTTTCGCGATAGATCTGATAGATCTGTGTATTTTCCCTGTTGGACGAAAGCAAATAAGAAGCGACTGCTGCCGGGTCGTCAATGCAGACGAGACAGCTCGGCGCGTTGACGACTTATGAATGATTAGATGCACAATGTTAGCTACTTGTCGGCCTATGAGCGTAGACAAAGCTGCATTTCGCGTCGTGCTTGTACAGCCAAGGCTTTTAAATGCACTTTCAATGTGAAACGTGCAGGGTAGGCCTCGCGTTTTATGGCCTTCAATGATATTCTCTAAACAGCAGGCGACCAAATAAATTTAATAAACAGTTTTCGTGCTCATAACACTTTACTAGAGTACCTGGTACGTCTAACTAAACCAGTCAACTAGATGACTCCCCGCTTTACAAAGGCCCAATTCCATCAAGAGTTTGTTATATTTAAACACTCCGCATAAAAATCCGCGGCAGGCCTATGTTATCAAGACACTACGCACAACTAACAGAATTAGCAACAAAAATGACATATCTGCGCTTGTCTTTTTGTTAACTTTTTGTTGTCATCATTATCAATGTCCAATCGAAATGGTCTGCCTCTATAAAAATATCTCGAATTCTTACGCCTTGTGCTGCTTTAGCTCCACGGTCTTAGACGGCTCTTTCGATCGCGTGTCTACAGCTGTCTTGAACTTAGTAAATGAACACGTTACCGTTACTGTACCATCAGGGATACTTTTTAGCCTTGCTACTGTTTGATTGCCATTGAACTCGCTCCTCTTCCTACCTTGCAGAGCAGACACTTGACTCTGGCACATGCTGGATACGGTCGTAACCAGGTCAGAGGAGAGTCCACGGAGTGGTGGCGGGATCGCCTGGGAGAGCTGCTGCTGTTGGTGCGAAGGAGTTGGAGGGGGCTGATGCGAATGGGGATGGCCTACGGTGATGATTGATGATGGCGTCGACGCTTTGTGACCCACGGCACTGGCGGCCGCTGCCAGCGCCGCTACTGACGACGCATAGCTGGGCGGTTCGCTCGTCGGAATCGACGATGAAGCGAGTGACGACGAGAGCGACGCAATCGATCCGGCAGCGGAGGGTGAGGGCGACGGAGCTTGTGTTGGCACCACGCAGTGATGGCTGTTGTGGATTACCGGAGCACCGCTGTCGTTATTGCAGCCGCCTCGTGCCGTGATGGTGACTCCGCTGATTGTCGTTGTAACTCCACCGGACGAGCCAACTAATAGCGAATGGTGTTGGGGTGCGGAAATGCCAGGAGCAGGACTAACTGAACTGCTGCCCGGTGGCGGAGGTAATGGGGGCGAAACGGTTCTTGGCGGAGGCAAAGGAGGTGGGGTACTGCTGATATAGGGGGGTTGCTGGTCAGCAACGCTAATGCCGGTACAGCCCCGACGTGGATAAGCAGGCGGTGCACACGGATATGGAGGTGGGGTGCCGTAGCCCCCTGAAGCAGCGGAAGCTGCTGGGACAGCTCTGCCTTCCGCTGGGACAACTCCGCCAACGACACTGGGAGCTCCGCTGCCCGGAGCTCCAGCACTCGGCACCGGGGGAACAGGCCGACTTGGAGGTGCCACCGCTGTCTGTGGGACAGGCTTCTGCAAAAAGCAAAGATGAAGTAACAGAGGGAGTTTATAATAATAGACGTTAGTGAAGAGCGTGCCAGCGATCATTAAAATCAGAGCTGGATCGGTATGACTCAAATAATAAATATTATTAGCCTATTTCATAGCTGTTATTTTTTAGTTTCAAGATCTAGAGGATTCGTTTAACGTACATAAACATACGTACATATAAAGAATGAGGCGTTCGTTTTCAGTATGATTATTATCTTCTACCCGGCTACTAACCTGAATTGGAGTCGCCTTCACGCTATGCATTATGATTGGCGATTGTGATTTTGCCTTCTTCACTGCCCACGATGCGGCCTGTTGAGGCGGAGGAACGGCCTGCAGACAGTGGCCGCCTGAAGCCCCGTTGGCAGCCGGCTTTGATGGACAGGATAATGTCGAGCTTGACAAACTTATGCTGGAGCCAAGCGAAGCAACTGAAGGTTGCGGTGAAACAGAAATTGGGGGGTTTGGTGGAGGTGTCCGTCGTGGCAAAATCGGTATCGAGCACTCCGATGACGAACCCGTATTAGTCGGAGATAGTCGACCACCTAACCAAGTGAGTGCAAGCGAGACACAGTGTCCACAAACTATAAGTAAACGCTATAATTTATTGATAGTCTAAAAATATAGATGTATTGTTAGAAGGGTAAAAATGCGACCTATTCTTTGTTAAAAAGTTAAGATTTCATCTACTGTAGCATATCGTAAAAACTGCTAATTCTGTGATAATTAGCATACAACCTCAATTCTACGACACGAACAAATGACAGCAAATTATATCCTTGCGAAAAAAAACGCCGTAAAGCTAACAACAATTTCTCGTTATCAAGCTATACCTCTTAAGCTTTACTGTCGTTTTATTACTTAGGGCAATTGCAACTGAACCGGCAATTTAAATTATTCCAGTAGTTACCCCTACGCTTATTAAAACCATGGCCGTTATGGTTCTAGACAACAATCGGTCAAAACCTCTGTTTATCTAAACTATATTTCAGTGATTAACTGGCTCGTTGGGCAGACTCGCATGATACGCAGTGTCTAACGAGCTCGACGACTGTGCCCGCTAGCGAGAGACTTCACGATTGTCTCCCGACCCTTAATCAAAGGAAGCACAAATCCAACAAGTTGTCGTGACTAATCCTTTGTTTTGTTCTTATCATCACCGCATTGTGCAGTAATGATCAATCAAAAATCAAAAGTTCTAAAACAGTAAGCGCAAAACGTTTGATGCAAAACTAACTCGTTTTACTAGGGATAAGCTATATGGTGCTTGGAAACAGACCTCGCAGGAGGAACCCAAACAGGTTGCACTTAGCGTGCTGTCTCGTCATTTGATGTTGTCATATCATTATTTTGTTATTCTTGCTTTCGTCGTCATCATCGTCAAAATTGTTTTTGTTATTTTCATTATTATTGCTATTGTTATTGTTATTATGATTCTCGATATCATCACGACTAAAACTCTAAGTGACCAAGCAGCCTTAACAGCAATAGGCCATTAGTACTAACAATACTACTCATTACAGAAGGGAACCAACTCAGTTCTAATCGTCATCTGTATATACCAATACTGCGTTCTAACGCGTCCTGTCCCATGTGTGACTGCGCGGAAACAGAAAGCTGTTGTCTAACATGTAAAGTATTAACGCTCGACACTCAGTATAGGGAACCATGCATGTTTCAGAGCTGTACAAAGCCGTATGAAGATAGGCACTGAGCGACAGACTGACCGAGGCAGATGGAGGAAGAGCAAAAGCGTAAGTCCTTCGCAACGCCACATTTCTTTGGAAGGCCGTCGCCGCCGCCGCCGCCGCTGTCGTTTGGTGCTATATCGTTTTCATTTCGTCTTGCTGTCTCTTGCTGCCCCTGGCGCGTTTTAAACTAACCGGTCTAGATCTGACCCGGCAGCGCCATATAGTGCGGCAGAGAAATAAGCTTATATTGGCGGTCACCGCTTAAATAATGCGTGTAGCAGCGCGAGCACCGCATGGTGAATATGGTGAGCTTTAAAATTGGTACCTTAGTAATAACTATCAGCGTAGCAGCTTTAGTAACCAAGACCTCGTAAATCGTCGTATACCGTATCTTGCGGCAAGACTCTGCTCCTCTGTATGATGGTACTCAACCCCCGTTACGGCGTGCTTTTCTGTTTTATGGACGTTTATATGTGAGCCGCTGACGGCTGCATTAACTGGTCATACTATCATAACCGTAAGACACTTTATCAAAGTCTCTTACGAGTTAAGCCATAGTCGCGGTTATCGACGCGGTGGTTGACTTGCACACGCGGTGGTCTCATAGAACGTTTGGGTGAGCCCTGGCTACGCAGACGATGGGCGGCGGACGTTACCTGGCCATACCGGGGGATAGCGACTAGAGTACTACCTACTGGTAGAATCAAGAACAGTAGCACGAGCGGTATTGGTAACAGTAATGCTGGAATGCATCTTCCAACGAACGACACATCATGCAAGACGCACTGGAGAAAACGTTGCAGAGCAGTAGAGTACACCCGTCGTTTATCTACAACCATACGCGAGTATGGGTGGGTAGGCAGTTCGTCGTAGCCTTTGACACAGGACATGGCAGAAGGAGAAGGGCAAAAAACATTAAGAGCTATCCTCTACCCGTGAACGCGGGCAGGAAACGCTAAAGGACTAGCAAGCTATCGCGAGAGCTATCGAGTCCTGCAACGAGCCCGACTGCACTTGAATAAGGGTAGCACGCAATATGAACTAATGTTAGTAGATGTCAGCACGTGCGCGCACGCATCGACTACGCTGCGAGCAAAAAAGAGCAACAGAAAGTGAATTGAACATCAACAGGCCCGCGGCCCGCGCGAAACCAGTTTGTCGCAACGAGCGCCGGCAAAACCTATAAGGCTATATGGAATGTCTATGATGAGGTTCAGTCGGAAACAACGATGCTTGCAGACGTCGTAGGATAACATAGAAGCAAAGAAGAAATAGAAAAATACCTCAAAACAGATAATGCCTTACGAAACCCATGGCTGCCGCTTTCAAATGCCGATAGAAGGATGACTAGGCGCTGATGGCAGTCGTCATACGAGTTTCAGCCGGTCGTGGACTAAAGCAAGAATGTATGGTCATATGATACTGTAGTCTAGCGACAATAACGGCCACGGTACCAATAAATGGACAAACAAAGAAGAGATGTCGAGCCATAGACAGCCGCATGGTGTCGCAGTGGTACAGTGGTTCCGTAAGAGGATGCGAAAAGAAAATGAGATATGCAAAGTACCATAAAATCGAGCTCACACTAATTCAGTCTAAGTGGACATCCCTACTAAGTATAAAAAGACCAAATTATAACGGATGGCATCGAATGGTAAATCAAGGGCACATGAGAAAATAGATCTCGGCCGTGAAGTGATTCTGATATAACGTTGGAACTAAGGAATTTCAATTGGGCCTTTTTACCTGATCGGAACAAATGCTTAGTTCGAAAAGCGAGACAGTCAAAAATAGAGCGTGTCTAATCGCACTTGATTGAAGCAATAGCAGTTTGATGGCTGTGACTGGTTTTCTACAGTCGCCTACTAATACGTGTCCTTTCTATTTATCACCACTTCTAGTATGGCTAAATTTAAAAAAATCGTCTAATCTACGCGTCTCGGCATTAACTTTACGTGAATTTATTAGCAGGGCAATAAACTGACGCTGGTTGTGCTATGCCAACTATGAATAATCCAAAAATGAGCCCCTTCCAGGACGAATCTTGTAGGTCATAGGCCGTTTTGCGACTCGATTTGCAAAACAACCCTACCCGACTGATGAGGTCTGAAATTCCTTCCCGTCCCTTTGCCTTAAAGACGAGCTTTAGAGACGCATCGTGGCACTTCTATCCAGAATTATACGCACATACATAGGTACTACATTTAGTAGCTCTTAAAGAGCGACAGTCCACAGATGGATAAATGCATTCGTATATGCTTTCTTGACGTTACTATCGTGAAGGGATCGTCGTGGGAGCACTTGCCAAAATCAGCTGCAGCATCGTCAAATGATTCCCTGGCACATTACAATATGGGAAAAAAGGCCGAGCAATTTCTACTGCCAATATAATGCCAATATATATATACTGCAATTTCTACTGCCGCCAACCACCTTCAGCATGCAAGGTTATAGGCAAACAGGGCTAGAATTCATTAAGTCGTCAGTTAGCAGGCTAGAATAGACCAATTATCGAGAAACAGCCAAGTCCGTCCTTGTCCTAGAGGTCCATCGGACGACCTTGGTAAAGTCTGTTTTCACTTGTGTGACGTTGCGAGGACGGCGTCCATCGTGTCCAACGGATACTGATGTTGTCACGCTACCACTTGTCCGTCGCGGGTGGTAAGAGGCATTTTACAAAATGTCGGCGCGATGGTTCTGGTAAGAGTACAAAATTATATTGCCAAGAGGGTTCCGTCAAGCCACATGAAATCAACTCGCAATGACCATTGGCTGATCACGTTACTGACCCATCTGTTTAATTATAGTAATTGTTGTAGTGGTGGATATAGCATCTACCATCAAAGCCCACTACAAACCTTCGGTAAATGTATAAATCTTCACTAAAAAAATGTAAGTACTGTCTACGCCCAGATTCGACCCTTGGCCATTTCTGTGTCCCTTCGGTTAGTACCACGTTGCTGCCATTACATTATTATTAGTACATCATTTCGAACCGTCTCGAGTTTTACTTAAACCTTGAGCAGTGCCAGATATTAAAACCGAAACAGTGGTAGGAATAGTAGTTATAGTACGACAGCTTTAATTTCATTCTAACTCACATAACCGTTGTTTGCGTTAGTGCGTAGTACGTTTGTCCAAACGTAAAAAGTTCAGGGTTGAAACAGTCATTTATACTGTTGTGCTTCTGCACGCAGAGAGTTCACTGTCGCTTCGTTCAGTAGACGGCTATATCATGTAGAAATAAGAGGAGGTGCTACAATTCAACAAACCTACTTTATCAAGCAGGTGTATATATATATCAAGAAATACGCCATGTCTCCTATCTCCACAATATGACTATCCATTGACCTGTAGGTATATACGCCTCGGCCTAGCGGATTGCGCGACTTGCTCAACGCCGTAAAAATCTTAACTAATGCGATTTCGTGTTTTTTAAGCAATTAGTTTTGGCCCAGCCCAGGCAGCACCTGCTCGCGATGGTAGCACCTGTTCTCAGATCTAAGTAGGTCATGTTTCTTTCGTCATAAACCGATTGTGTCTGCATACAGATTTACAATCTCGGCTGTCCTGAGATGATGGATAGTGAGCTAATCTCACCTATCTCTCACCTCGAAAAGACAACGAAGTCACATAAGGACATTGTGAATGGGCAGTCAAACCAAAGGTCAACAGAATTAAAAGCGTTGGTTGAGATTTCGCAAAAAAGAATCGCTCATCGCAACGGTTAGATGACGTCCTAGACGGCATTTCTCCGTTGATAGCATTAGTACGTAATCCTATTATCTTTAGCACCAAAAGTGAATTCAACATGTTCGAATATGGGTCCGGGTCATTCCATCACGTCTGTAATACGTCTTCTGCATGTGGCTTATACTCATGGAAATCAAAAACAGCTGTTTTTTCACTACGACAACATAGTACGAGAGTTATGCTGCGACTAATACAGACTCATGGTAATTAATTGTTTAATGAATTAGCTCTAAGTTGAAGTATTTCTTATCTAGGGATTCTACGCCTACCTTTCTACATTTGGCGAAGCGTGCTGATAATCTGCTTGGAATTTTACTTTGGATGCTACTGTCCTTAGACGATGTTTTATACGACTAATGTTATGATGATAACAAATCCAGCCATTTTTCGAATACTGGCATTGATAAGTTACATGAGCTCCGACGGCGGCAGACACTTACCGGAAGATGAGCTGGCGTACGAAAGTGCCGAGTACGTTGAGGATATGCTTGGCGGGGAATATATTGTGTAGGGAGGCGGCGGCTCCCGTTGAGGCACGCCTCCCGATTGAACACTTGCAGCAGCGCCGGCAACGGCCATCTGATGACCGTGATTGCTGTGGCTTGCATACTTCTTGGCAACCGCCGCTTGAGGTTTTGGACCTTGAATAGGCGGGGGTGCCGGATGAGCGGGTCCGGGATGACGGTCCGGCCGCGGGGGTGGAGGCGGAGGCGGCTCACCCGAGGGGACATTCTTTGGATAAAGCACAGGCGCCGGCGGCTGATAATATTCGGGCGTCTGCAGCAATCTGGAATATGGAGTCAAGCAAATCGGAACGTTCGTGTAAGCATTAAAGACCCAGCGCGTAGGGTACGTTTATGAACCAATTGCTGTCCTTTTTCGTATCATTGTACCAGCTTGCTCTATATTGACAAGATGGGTGAAGCAACGAGGCACTAAATTATGGGAATAATACGTATGATGTTTATGTGAATCAACAAATCGGTCCCTGTGGGCAATGAAGCAACCTAGACCCTGAATTCAGCATAAACGACAGATTAATTTGTCGCATTTAGCCGAATCTGTTCCACAGTGAAATAACAATTACCGCGCGTCACATGCAAACTGAAACTTTAATCAAACAGTAACTTGGCGCCAAGCTAAGCGTCTAATTGATCCATTCTGATACTGGTCTTATTCGATTTTTATTACAGAAAGATAATTTAGAAGCTGTTTTCGTTCGCTACTCTAAATTAATCTGTTAGGAACCTTTCTGAACAACATGAAATATATCACGTCGACCCATTTCTTCAAGTATCAGAAAGCAATATGGCTTACATGCGCGCACCAATCTGTCGTGCTTCGTCTACCTCTTTTCTAGATTCAATCAATCAATAGCCAATGCAAAAGCGACGAAACTCGGACAATGGAAATTCCGCTGACGTTAACGCTCCATTTCAGACGGTCATTAACGAAGACGCTTGAATCTTGTTGTGTAACGAGGACGGGCATGGCGCGCTACTGGCTACACAAGATCAAGATTCATGTCATACAACCATAGCGGAATCAGTGGAGAAAATGCATACATTCACTTTCTGATTGGGAAACCTATCCTATTTCCAGGTTAGACATAGTCCCTGTGACGAAAACACTCGACATACACACACGTACACACAGATAATTCACACCCTGTACACTACACCGGAACGTCGAGTTACTCCAATGACAGATCACCAACCATTGTCTAGAAGTTAGCGCTGTTAATAATAAAATAGTGGCTTATATAATGCTTACGTACTTAATCACAATGGGTGGACTACAAGAATCTGTATACGAGTAGATAACCTTCATATTGACGAGCGATCTCTGCGAAACAAATAGCCACTGTCCTTTTGGCAAGAGCGCCTATTAAAGCATTCCGTGATCGGCCCCCACGTCGTGTACGATGTTCTTTGCTTCGTTAACTTCGGCTCAGCCACCGTATAACTCCAGTTATAACTCAAATGATAACTGACGATCTGCTGCGACAAACCTGCTTGGAGCACTTTGTCGGTATTGTTCTATCGCTCTGTAAGATGCCAAATTTCATGAGACCGTTTCAGACTATTGTGTGTGATCATCCTACTGCAAACCTCATCTAGGGGCAACAGCGCTCCTCCATAATTTCAATGACACTTGTTTGCTTTACACTCGTCCCGAGTTTCGAGTTTTCCGTTTAGCAATGAAGAACTACCTGCAATCGACCCGCAAATGATTTGAATCACACATGGGTTCCGCTCATTGACCGATATCGCTTTCGTGCTCTTCGCCACGAAGGAACTGACAAACCATTACGAAGCTGTACAGCAGAACAATTCAATGGCAGTCGGTAACACGCAACTGGTACTTAGGTGCTCTACAAACACAACAAGATTTCTCTTTGTTATACTGCAGCGCTTCGTCGAAACGTCTAGGTACCGTTGCTATGCCACCGCTATTGCCGCACTACGGTACCATTTCTAGCGAACCATAGCACTGATATGTTTAATTCTGCGTTGAAATCTGTCGTGCGTATCGCTCAAGGCGGCTTGGGATATTCCGATCGAAGATGTCGTTCAGATTAACAGAGTAGATAGAATAAGAAAAGTAAGCCAACCCTCTGAAGGGTGCGTAATTGATGAAAACAATAAGTGCATGGACGGTACCGATCCAACATCCAATCGAACCATCTACCGAAAGCTCACGAGCCCTCTTTACTTCCACTTTTTTCGTTTAATACTATTCTACACAGTTGTATCATCCCTGCTTCGAACAACGATGCGAGATGTAGCCCTTGCCAAAAAGAGAGGTACGGCAAACGAGGCGCTACTAACGTGACCAACCGTTTGTCAGACCAACGGCCCGAATATCGGCGCCTGCTCAGTCTCTCTTTGCCTACCACCGCAGAGCGCAAACTGACAGACTATCTATGAGGTATCTATGCCTATTACTGTCTCCTTCTACGCGAGCCTCTACTCAGAAACTTTACAATTTCTGTGGCCTGAACCCCCCTCCCCCCCCGCCTGCCTTATTACTTCCCTTTTGCACAGCTTTTCCTTCTCCGAGAGGAAAGCTTGTCTGAGGTTTAGCAACTGTGCGCGGTTCCCTGTAGGATAACATCGCGCAGAAACAACGTATGTTTATGAGTCGTCCCAAAATGAACCCTCTGCCTGTCGAAGTCATTGTATACATACGCCAACGTCGAAGTGGCTACCGATACCCGCCTAGAACCACTCGCCGGCACCCGGTTAGCGAAAGTGACTGGTTTTCAAACCAAAGCGGTAACAGACAGCGGTCCGAGGCAGAACTCGCAAGTACTCTTGCTATTTGCTGCCGTAAGAGAGGCCAAAGGTACGCAGGGCCTGACAGGGCCTTCTCTTTACTGTTTCAGGCACTAACGAGTGAGAGGAGGTCACCGAGAGAGAGAAGCAGAGAACGCGAGCGTTTGCGTGAAAGTGGACAACCAAAGAACTCGTAGCTACGCTGCTGTGGCCGGTTTACAGGAACGCAGACGACGAAGATGAAGCTACGAGGAATCCGAGAAGTCATCACCGTCAGCATGTACATAGTCTTTGCTGAGGTCGTCATTGGTGCTGCTGCTGCTGGTCGAATTTCACTCGTTTCTTGGGCTGACCTCATTCGCGGTGTAGCCACCAAGATCGCCATCCAGAACGATGATGATAAAGACGAATCGCAGACGAACAAGACACCGAAAGACGGCAGCACCAGCAGCCGCAGTAACAATTACTAGAACGTGTCGCTGCTGCTGTCGTAACAGTAAACGTTACACGCATATACTTCCACACTCTTCTAGGTTATTCAGTATTGCACCGTCGACGCGAACCATTTCTAGCTGCTACATATGCACCGATACAGCTGTTTAGTTTGTAGTACGGTAGATGTACGCGCGAGCTTACGCGTGTCTGTGTAGGTAGGTACATTGCGTTGTGTCGATGCCAAGCAACGCCTTAGTATCAGTCAGCATTCATAAGGCCAGCATCTGCCCTAGCCAGAGAGATCTACGCCACAAAAAAAATCTCAGAGCAAACACAACGAGAGATCGTCAGCAGATCACGCGCAGGTCAGTGCAGCGCGGCCAAGAAAAGCGAAGAATATTGTTGCAATAGAGAACGCACGAGCAGCTGCACCAGTCAGGAACAGTTGCTGCTATCGCAAGCTGAGAAAGAGCGACGAAGTGCGCAATCGTAGCTTCGGGAATGTGTGGAATCCCAGGCAGGCAGCGGACCGCGATGTAACTACAGAAAAGGGTAGGATTTAAGGCCGAGAGGTCTCTTCGACCATAGCCGAAAATAATGATGGTAAAAACGTGCGCCTTGACGCAAGGAAGAGCCAACCGAATGACTTAATAATAATAGCTAACAATAGTGTAACACGTTAGTACCTGTGTACTAGAAATGGGTCGGTATGAAAGGAGTTATTTGTCAGTACGCATAATTACTATGCGGACATCATATGAGGTTATGCTGATCCTGAACGAAAACCTACACACAGCACAAACCCCGTGCGAGTTCGAGCATGGCGGGTACGACGCCGGGAGAAACAATCGATACTACGAAGTAGAACAGAGCGGTATTTATCCTACGAAAACAGGTCGATTTTCTTTCAGCAGACGCCGTACGTTTTTTATATTATGGTATATCAAACACTGCGTTTTGTGAATACCGATACAATACATGAAAACATAGAAGTAGAACGGCATGAGCACACGTCATTATTTCGTAATACGGCGGGAAGGACGGACCGAATTTTGACCATTTGTGAACGAAGAGTGAGATGTCTCTCCAATGGCCCAGGGATAACTGCCCGATTAGCAATTACAAAGTAAGTGTAAGGTTCAGTTCCAAGAAAGCATGCTTCAGGTCTCACGTGCACCTTTTATGGGATCAATCGAAGTAATATAAGGCAAATATTACTGATTTGATGAGAACGAAGATCTCATAGCTTCTCTCTTTTTGCGCTAGAGCATTAATTTAAGTCTGTATATTCTACACAAATCCCCCAAAATCAGCAGGTCGGTTAAATTTTGATTAACCTACTTCACAATGAAGAGACCTGCATATGAGATTGGTAAGCAGACTAACAGACAAAACGTATCTGGCTGGGGTAAGGTGCTAATGCGAGCATGAACATTTTTTCGTTGCATATCGATGCAAAGTGGGAACTTCCAACTTAAAACAGCTAAACAATGTCTAGGCGTAAGTGCATTGCTTCGAACTACCAGAGCCCCGCCGTCGATCGAACCTGCACTAAAGTCTGTTTTAAAATTAAATCATTGGAAGCAATAGCGGGACTGTCAACGTATGTCCGGCCTGGGTCTTGATTATCAAAAAAGTCGACCACACAAAAATCGATCTCTCACGGTTTTAAACTCATCTGATCAATCACGATACTGCGCTATTCCAGCCGCACAATGTAAGAAAGCCTGTTATCTCAAGCTACGAAATACGCAACCGGATGCGTCTAAATACTGATCGCGTCGTGTAGGAAAATTATTTTTCCTCTTCTGTTGTTAGCGTCTTTCTTTACGTTATCGTCCTGCTCTAGAGACTTGAAGCGGTTTAGAGATCTTTGCCCGCACCCAGTTTATACGCCTAACATTTACCAATATCACGCCACAAACAATTAAGCCTTTCCCAGCCAGCCGACGAAGCAGCCTGAATCGTTCAAAAAGCTGAATACGTCACTATTTCAATAAGTACTCTATTTCGAAATAAACCTTTCCAGACAGTAGCATCACTATTAGATGCCATTAGCAGGGGTTCTTTTTCAAGGGGAATAGGTCTGCGCCTTAACTACCGCTGCATTACGATGACTCGCTGTGTTGCCCACCACGTGCGCTGCGATCCCGCCCGCGGGTAGGCATAGGTCTTTGCGTTACAATGGTACGTGACCGGCGCCGTCTACAGAGTGTACGCAAAGCACTCGTTTGGCGGCGCCTGTGTAGGCTTTACAACTGTTATGATGTAGCTGTAAACGAATATTGCTGGCTGAATAAATGGTTCAAATTTTTTACTTCTAATTACGCTACTGTCGCTTTAGTTAGTCATTGCTACTTCAGAAGGCCGGCGGCGATCCTCCTCGTCGCAGCACAATAGAAACCGCACTGATGTTTGTCTACGTCGGGTCCCAAACCTCGACTCCATCACCTCATCGCGAAATGTCCTTAAGTTGAGCAGAGGTGAACACGTTACCACTACGCCATGATGGGAACAGCTTCCGCTGGCTGAGCGAGTCGCGCTCGTGTTAACCGTGACAAAAGCTTATGCGACCGCCGATACCGCTGCTGTTGCTAGTTCGGCGGATATGATCGTAGGATGTGACTCGAGCAGTTAGATAGATAAACGGGCGTAGACCAGGGGCGGTCGGCTGTTGTAATGGTAGTAGCTGTGCTGGTGGGGCGCGCTGCGAGGCGCTGTTCAATGCTGGCTCTTTCTTCTTGGCCGAGAGTAGTGATGCCAACGGCCATAGCAGTGATGCCTGCAGCAGCAGCTCGTAATGCCATCGACTTGCCGGCAGGAATTTTTCCGTTCATCATCGTTGGATTTACACGGCTATTCAATTTGAATAGCAACGGCCCGAAAACGACAGAAGGACAAAAACAGGTTTAGGGGGGAAGTTCGCAAACAATAGAAATCGATGGAGAGACAAGCGAATACAGGAATACAGGATGGCACCTAGGTAGACAGTGGGCATTTGCATCTACATAGATCGCGTTCAGCACCAAACAAATAGTAGACAGTTAGAGGGACGTTGGATACACTCGACGGCATGCGGTAGCGATGGAAATAACGGCACTTAAGGGCGGACAGCATGGTGCGACTATTGCTAAGGATTCGGAGATCGAAGATCAGCGGTCAGAAAGGCGGTAAAATAAAAATTGGCTGAGATCGAGAGAGATGGGGAGATCGCTAAAATGCTGCTAGATGGAAAACTCAGACGTTGGAAAAAGATAAACCGAGAAAAATAAAACTAATTGCAGATACAAATTTACTAGCAATTTTTCAGCAACTTCAAATATATCGAGGCATTGTCAAATGCAGGTAAATGGCCGGAGATCATTGATTAGTTTGGTCGCTGATTATCTTGAGCTTCATCATCGCGGGAGGAAGAAAGAAAACTACGAACTTGAAGCAAGTTGAATACTACAATTTATATTAAGCGATGCCTGATAGTTGGCTTCATTTGCGTTCGAAATAAGACAATTGAAAATGCTGTTTAAAAGAAGGGTCCGAGGTATGAGATACTTTTTTTTTTAAAGAAACGCGCGTAACATTGCACGCTATTAAAAGGTCCTGCTGAACGCAAATATTATATTTGTCCTTCTTTCCTGTTGAATTACTGAGGTTAGGTGCTCCTGATTCTGTTGCATTAAATTGAAGAATTTCACAGTGTTTACTTCGAATAACAAACAGCTCGAAAGATATCACTGATTCTCTACAGATCGAGAGAGCGTGAATGTCTTATGCCCACGCGAATTGGCCACCTTATCAGGTAACTGCTCCGAAAGTAGCGGTTGTACATCATGAGAAAAATACAAAGGGTATTGAATAGGCAATATCTTTTTGGGTCAAAGACGAGAATAGATACGACCTACCTAATTACTAAGATTGCTAAATCACCTGATGGAACATCGCACGGTTCTTTAAAACTTCTTAATCTCCCGTTAGAAGGAACGCGTAACAAGCTAGAAATGTTATAACTATAAAGCCATTGGTTAGCTGGGTGAAATCGTTCGGCCAATAAAAACAATGCCAGCTTCATCAAAAGTCTTGATCAAACTAACTTTAGCCGAACTCAAGGCAAGTATTCTTCTCATGTAGCCACCTAAGTTTTAGTCCCAACTATTGCTTGAAGTCAATTCGTCTCATATATTTAGGAATATTACATTCCGTTGGGATCAGCATGTTTTTATATCTTTGACTATTCTGTAATCTACTTTGTTGATATATGGCCGTGCATGATCGCCACGAACAACCGTTAGTTAGCCTGGTAACGGTAGGCTTTCTAGGCGTTAGCTATATCAACATCGAGCTACGATTTAGAGAGTTTCAACTAAATCACCCCCTGCTTTCAGGACGAGACGGCCGCAAGCTCCGTCCGGTTTAGGACAACTATTTGTTCCTAGTCCAACCAACCTTGGAGGATCTGGAAGGATGCTACGGGTCGAAGGCGATGACTCCACGCCACTGTCGCTTGCTGCGCTATTGGCGCTACTCGATGTTGTAGCGCAGTTTGGTACCGTAACGGGTAATTTCTCCCATAACGGGGTACCAGTTGGATCAGGCGTCACCGACGCGAGTCGAAGAGCCTTAAGTCCGAGTAGAGCGCTCTGGTTAGCCGCACGCTGCTGCTGAAACGCCGCCGCTCCATTGGTAAGACTTGAAAGTCGCTCGTCTGATTGAGACGGCTGTTCCGGCGGAAGACGCGCTGGAGGTTTACGAGGACCGCATGAATGTGAACGCTGTACAATTTCCTGTGACGAAGGAACAGAAAGATTAAGCAAAACAACATAATGTCAAAGGAATAAGGGTCAAAACCTCCAAAACAAGCTAGCTGTTAGCCATACCGCCTCAGATAACAGGACAGTCTTCTAGTGAAGGTTAGATATTAGCTAAAGAATAATTGTTTTTAGAATATATTTCTGGCTAGAAGATAAAGCTTAGTCAGCGCTATATACATTTGTGTATGCTTCCGAGGTCGAACTGAAGCTTGCATTTTTTTCTACAAAAGATTTCGGTGTTTAAGTCACAAGCCAAGAACGCGTACCACTTGAAAACTCTATATTTCTGCTGAATATCGTCGCGAAACTTGTTTACTTGTATCAGTCCTTTAATGGAAATTGGAATTTAAGCAAAATTTGCGACAATCCGGTGTGGTTCAGTATTTATTCACTTTTGTTTTGTTAGCCGCGACGAATGCCGTAAACCATGGAAATAATTACTGCGCTATACGCCACACAATTTCGATCATTTAGCGGTGAAAGACACTAGAGTTCTTAGCGTGTTGAACGCCATTTTAGCTTAAAATCGCAGAATATCCAGCCGCCAGTGATAACGCACCGTGACCAGAAATCAAGTAAAGCGTTTGTGGTTATTTGCCAAGCTGGGTTTGATACAACTTAGATAATACCACGCAGGCGTAACAGTTGCTCATCGTTTAACATTACTACATTCAAATTAGTAGTAGTAGTTTCTACAACTTTCGGAAATTGATGTTTTTTTTGGAACCTGCGTTTTCTCATGGAAGATTCACTTAAAAATTAACTTTCAGGTTTGCATTAATCGTTTTGATACCGGCTTACGCCAAACTGAATTTATTATAGCGTTATGAAAAAACCGTCACAGACAGTTTTGTCGACCGTATCTTTGAGATCATTATTCTTGCCATCATTTCAGTGAACGTAATAAAGTGTTTCCGCCGTTCTGTGAGTATAATAAACATGTCAGTGCACAATGTGTTCTTCGGCACGAATGACTGAAGGCAGGCTTAACATGAACGCAGTTCACTCCTATTTCAATTTACCAGAGCTAATTTATATTTACGGTATTTTATTATACGATACTAGATAAATATCCGCACTAGGAGCCATAGTCAACTAGCAATACAGAAGAACAAACGGACAGGGCTTACAACTTGGCCATGTATTCGAATACAAGTCAAGACCTTCATCAGAGTAGTTTCATCTTTTTTTTCAATCAGGGCGTCCTTTCATCTTTTTTTTTTACCAGTTACCAAGAAGCATCACTAAAACTAACAAACAAGCGCAAAAGGCCATTCATTTTTCATAAATAAAATTCAAATTTTTTCAAATATTTCCTCCTTGCAAATATTTTTCCTGTGATATTTACCGGTGGTCGAACTGGTGTTTTCTGAGGCAACGCACTGAAGGCCGAATATCCATAGCTCGATTCCGAGGCCGTTGATGAGGCGGAGCTCATTTCGCTTCGTTTCACGGAGTGCAGATGATGTTGGGATGACTGTTGATGCGGCTGACCCTGTCCAACTCCTGGAACCCCAACGCCAACTTGCATATGATGATGAATCTGCAGTTGCTCCTGTTGGTTGGCGAACGGCTCGAGACTGTTGCGAATTTGCTGGAGCGCCATCATCCGGTACTCCTTCGGATGGGACGTGTTCGACGCGGCCGAGTTAGGCCGCTCGCGCTCCGGGGGCTCGGATGCCCCCGGAAGCGCAGGTAGGGGCCGGGGCATAGATTCCCCTAACCCCTTAACTGCGATCCGGGCAACACAATCGCTGGCAGCTGCTACCACGAGCCCGAGTCGCGATCCAAAAACAACAGCTCCCAGCAGTCGCCGACAGCGAAAGTGTGCTCGTCGCATACGACTGTTCTAGCAGAAGAGTTGTTTGCGGGGGCGCAGGCTGCAGCAGCGGCGTCGCTGTTGCGCACTGGAATGAACGTGTGGTAAATTGTGACCGGATAATGCAGTGTAGGCTCTAACACACGGTTGGCATCAGCGACAGCGGCGGCAGCAGCAGCAACAACAACAACAGCGGAATCCCAGCACTCGCGGCTCATTCTCTCATGTAAGAACTTGATAGATGGCGGCAGCAGATGACGGAGGGGTGCAGCGACGCAGACAAGGACAGTCGGAGAAGTGAACGAATAAATGACAGAAAAAGACAGAACAAACAACAACAACAACAAAGCAAATAAAATCGAATAATAGAAATTAGTAAATATAGGATATTTAGCCAAAAAACTTGAACATATACGACTGATAGATATATAGGAAACGATGGAGATGAAATTGAACAATTCTAGTCGAAGCTGTAACGGAAGCTTTTTTCAAAATTACATAGATACCTAACAGAGAATTAACAGTAATAATGAAAATCATCATTATTAAATCATTCATTTGTCTACGTCGATACGTTCACAGTAAATGTATATTTAGTTAACCGCTCTAAACGCACACACACAAACAGAACCCGTATTACTTCGAACACCTCAATTATTACCCGTATTACACCTCAACGAGGTAAGAGTAAACCGTACTTATTGTACAGGAAGACAATATTGTTAATAACAGCTCTCCAGATATCGAGATCTATACTAGCTTAACTTATATCTCGTTGTAAAGTTTAAGGACAAGTTATTTCTGGCGCTATCGTAAGTCACTAAATAATTTGGCGGACCTAAATAGATGCCGACTAACAGTAACAGTAGCACGTTTATCAGAGCCAATCAACTGTCAGTCACTAAATTCCCTTGAACCAAGGCCCGTTTCTGTATCGTAGATGTCTTCCAGTAAATATGTAAGGATAGTACGTTAGGAAGACCCCTTTGAAGCTTAGTAATTTTCCTACGAACTTTATCAATTTCCTTTTAACCGTATCGATGTCAATCAACGAACGCGAGAACACCATCGACACCCCTGCGGTCATAGGATGATTTCGATACTAGCGTAACTTTAATTCCGACAGAAACAGTTGCGCATTCATGGTCGAATATCGGACCTATTACGGTCGTCTTTGACAAACAAGCCTAGCCTATAAACTGAATTGATTAAATAATTTTTATCTATTAACTAACATATCGCCTCTACTACGCCACAGGACAGCGCCTTAAGTATGATTACAATCAAATGTCTATATTCGTGCAGAGTAGAACAAAACAACAAAAAACGTTTATGACCTGCTATAGAGAGCGGTAGACATCTGCCTATCCAAGCTACTGTTGAATGTTTCTACTGTAGCGTCGAAAATGCGCTACCATAAGACGGCTGACCGCCATAATAATCAGCATGGAGCCAACGATCTGAACTTGTATAAT